CGATAGCAAGAGGACTTGAGAAGCGGATGGGAATGGATTTCTGCCTGGACTACTCCAACGTCCTATCGGCCCTCTCTTTATACGTACGGTAGAGCGTCGATTTTCCGAGCGTCAGTCTTTTCGAACGTCGATCATCCGAGCTTTTCGGCCATCCGAATAAAAAAAAAATAAAACGAAGAATGTCAGCCTAAGTGCAGATCTGCCATTCTACAGGTCTCTACACTCACCATTCACGGTATCAATTGACCGCCGAAGGCACCACTTTGCTGCCGGATGCTATCACGCAGATATCGGTGACGCCTCATTTGTTCTCAAGAATTGTTAACAGCGGTTTATGTTATCACTAGGGAGAGGATTTTTATGCAAATGCATATTTTTTCTGCAGTCTCCTAGGGGCATACAATCCAGATAGGATCGTGTATTATTTTAGCATAGCGATATTTGTATAGCGATATCTGCCATTTTTAAAACGCATAAAAATGAATATTTTTTAAACCTTTTTCTTAACATGTGCATATTTACATATATATGTGCATATGTATGCATAGTTCGCCTATTTTTCTATTAAAAAAATAAGAGTTTTCCAGGAAAATGTATCTTTAGGAAAAATTTCCAGCGGTCATGCGCTGGTTGGAGCGTTGAAGCCTCCAAAACTCTGCTCTAAATCCACCCGCTACTGCTATCCCTCTCGAGAAGTTTAGGAAATTCTAGCCTCCGTTCGTTTCCCCTAGCCTTCCATTGGCGAATTCCTGGCTTCGCCGCTGGCTGTGAAAATGAATAGACCAACTACACCCAGTAGAGGCATGTAATGGACACTGAAATTCCTTCTTTCAAAAAATTATTGCATGAAAAAAAAAACATGTTTTTCCATATTTTCTCATATTCGTGCATATTTTGGCATTTTTAAGCGCATATGTATATGCATATTTTAGGAGTGCATAAAAATCCGCTCCCGAGTTATCATTCACACACCAGGCAATGCTATGGCAACTGTGGACAGCGGGAATAAAAAATAAACTGCATGTGATCGCGTTCTCATTGCTTTACTAATCAAACTATGTGTTGCAGATTCTTGGTGTTTTACTCGAATTCTGAATCCCCCTGGATTTTTATTAGTTCGGGAAATCGACGCTCTACTGTAATTTAATATCTTTTTTACTGTCCCGATCCCGATGACGGTCAAAGTAATGATGTGGAGGGGGGAAAAACGCAATCGATTCCGATCGTACCTTGGATGAAAGCCGATGGACGGTATACGGACCGTACGAACCCGGCATCACTTGTCTGAGTCCACAGAGCTGTGAGGACGGCGACGAGGATTCACGGCTTAAAAAGGCAGAGGCAGAAACTAGAAGCACGAGTCCGAGAGTGCTCCTTGGGCCTTGCGACGCTCGAGAGGCGCGAGACGACGGGGACACGACGGGGACGTCACTCCTCGTCAACTGACGGAACCGAGCCTGAGGTCCCACTCCCGGTCCAACCCAAATCCGCAAGAACGAGCTCGTACGCCAAGGTCGTTTCTACCAAGTGCTCCCGACACACCTCATCGATCGCATCGACTGGGATTTTCTGACTCTATCGAGATGCTACGACTGCACGAAATTCGAATCCCTTGTTTCCGAATGCTCTCCACGAACATCTTCCGCTTTTCCAACGCACGTCTTTGTAGCATTTTAGAAATAAAAAATGAATTCAAAAGTTAAAATAATTTCCAAGGTTTCCCCCGAGAAATTTCCGGTATGGGGGAGAGTTTCCTTCGCCTTTGCCTCCAAATTGAGATGAGATTCATCTTAGCCCACTCACCATTTGCGCGAGATCATGAAGAGGGGAAAACAATGTCGGAAGCGGTTGAGAAGGAAAACGATGCACGCTACGTGAATCCATTGAGACGAGAGACTGGAAGTGAACAGTTCCCATTCCGTGCCATGACCTGGCATTTATCCTGGCTCCTTCCGGTGAAATTTATTCTCCGTAAAAGGGAAAGCACGGACAAGAGAACGCTACTATGTGACCTAGCATATGCGAATGTTTTAAAAATAGTGACCCACATCATTATCTAACCTTGAGTTCGTTTTGCAACAGCAAAATCAAGAGTGAGAATCCAGCTCGTGCAACGAGCTGGATTTTCAACGTGTCTGCCTCTTAGGGCTGTTAGGTTTCTGAAGTTGAAGCCACCTTTTTCTTGGTTGAAGTTCCCAAACTCATTAAGACGTTGTGTATCAGCCTCTACACTGATGATTTGACGGTACCTGGCCTAGTGTCACCGTGCATCGGAACCAGGTTAATTCTGAGTTATTATTGATACCTCATAAGAATTAAATGTAGCATGAGGCATATGCGAAACTTCAATCGGTTTCACATGCTCACTCCAGTCACCAGCTGCAGGATATTTTCATAATTCTCATAAACGGTTTTATGCCATTGGTTATGAGGAGGTAAATATGATTGCTAGAAGAAATGTCGATGTTAAGAGAAAACGACAGGCCTGTGCAAATAAATAAATACATTCAAATAGTGCAAATTGAATTGCAAGCATGTAAAAATTAATCATGCTGACTGCTTCTTTAGCAAGCCAGTACCTATGCCATATACTGCATGTTAACCGTATTTTTCCTTTTCCCATTGTGTCCATTGGTAGAGCAGGTAGGGGTATTGTCACCACCAGAAAAAATGCTGGTGGCAAAGGAAGTGCCGTTTATGAGCCCTAAATGACATTTACCCTTTCAGTGGCCCCATCTCCATTGTCTAATGATCCCACCTTCCCTGCTCAAGATCATGCTAAACAACTATAAGGGCATGCGGTGCTCGATAGGCAGGGAGGCGAATCGCACCTGTGGAGGGATAAACCATGCCCAAAGCTTATATCGCGAAAACATAAAACTCGCGAAAATGAGTTCTTGGTGGGATCGGGAATTTGAATTTGATTTGCAGTCATGACGTACATTTTTTTTTCCAACCCAGCAATATTCTGATCTTTGTGAACTTCTGGTTGAAGTTTTAGTAGACTGGCTGCTTCCAGTTCTTGAAAATTCCTCTGGCCATCACAAAAAAAGTTCTCTGTGTGGTCCATTTATTCGGACGTCCTGTGAATTATAGCAACGTTTGGAATTGATATTCATTTCATCATAGCTGACACAAGACACCATCTTTTTCTGGCAAGACGTCTGGATGGAATTTCATCAGCCGAACTACGAGGTGCTATCAAAAAGTCCGTGCCGCGTAGCGATCGGGTGCATAACACTATCAAGGCCAATCGGTGACTGTCGTCTTCAGAATTTTGTCCTTCACCCTCAGTCGTTTTATTGCTATGACGGTGATAAGACGATTTTTGTGATTTTTTTTTGTCTTTTTCTAGACTGGTGAATTTCCCGAATGAGAAGCAAGGAGCCGCGACGAAGTTTCTTGCGGCACGCGGAGAAAAAGTGTTGACATTCATCGCCAGCTGAGGGAAGTGTGTAGGGATAATTGCCTTGTCGAAAACACCGTCCGCAAGTTGGTGCGGAAGTTCGAATCAATCCATGACAAGAGACAATTAAAACAATGGAAGCGCCCAAATTCCCCACCGCCCAAGAAGTTTCGACAAGTTGCTTCAAATGAAAGATTCTGTACACCATTTTCTGGGACAAACAAGGCTTGACATTGGCTTATGCTGTTCCCAAGGGTCAAACCATCAATGGCGAGAATTACCGACACTTGCTAGAAACGGAGCTTTTGCCGGCAGTGGACAAGTTGAGACCGGAACTGGCCAATGGAAATTTCATCTTGCACCTGGACAACCCATCACCGCACACTGATCTCGTTATGACAAAATTCTTGGCTGGAAGGGGTATTGAACTCTCGCCACATCCTCCCTATTCGCTAGATCTCGCTCTGAGTGACTTCTGGCTGCTTGGCAAGCTCAAAGATTCGCTGCGAGGAAAGAAATATCCTTCGAGACAAGCCCTGGGCTCTGCAATCTACCAGTGCAATGGTTCAAACATACACCCAAAGATGACTTTGCTAAATGCTATAGAGAGAGTGTTATAAAGACTGTTTAAAACAGTGGCAACTGTGTCGAGAGAGGAGACTATGTTGAGAAGTGGCTTTGAGAAACTTTGTACACTTTAGGAATTACAATATAACAGCACGGACTTTCTGACTGCACCATGTACAGTATACCCTAGAGAATTCCTAGCTTACCTGAAAGATAACTAACCCAAGCTTTAAGGCTAGAAAGAGATAGCAATGGATATGCGAGGCAAGACCCGACGTAGTCATATGCCTTCAGCAGCACTGAATGAGCGAAATCTTCAATCTACCATTTTTTTCGGTCGGGAGTTTGATTTGAGCATGTCCTATTTAGTAATAGTGAATACTCCATTTAAAACAGATTTTTCAGTCATTGTGACATTTTTTCGCAGATACTCAAGGATTTTGTTCTTTTCTTGCATCATTTGAGAGAAAGGAATTTTCCTGAGCCTGCTGCTCCTGTGCTTCTTTTAATTTCTGACGAACGACCCCCACATTTGAAGAAAAGACCATTCACCTTCCTCCGGTGTTGTGATTCTACGTCAGCACTGACTTCTTTCTCAAGAGTTGAGACCTCTTGGCCCCTCATGCGCTGGAAGGGTCCGCCAGATGAGATGTTTGAGAATGGAGAGGATGGTGTTCAACAGCCAAGTTCTTTGTAGGAATAGCATCTTTCATTAAGCGGCTTATGGTGTTTTCTTATGGATCTCATGCAAAATTATGGTTGCATATGAAAGCATACGTTGGAATAGATTCTCTTCCTAGTGCTTGCAGTCAATTTTTTCTCCAGTATGGGCTATTTGGGAAGTCATGGAAAGTAACATTTTTTGTAAGTTGATTCCTGTACGCATTTTTGCAGGATGCAACAACGCAAACCTTGCCACTGCCCTTAAGAAAAAATTTATGAGAAAATTAATGAGGCTCTGACGAGCGAATTTATTTTAGGATGGCAGGAGATCGAGAGATGTTCCCTCTGCACCGCAAGTGAGGTTATGACACCAGTGAGCGGTTGCGTCCGCTTTTTAGAGTGGAACGGCTCGATGACGTCTTCACACATCACAGGATCCTAACAGAGGGGTGACCCTTCAAAATGGCCTTTCCATTGCAAATGCCATGACCTCAAAGTTCTCACAGTAGATGGATGGAAAAACCATGATTAGAACAGTCCCATGATCGTATGCACAAAACAACAAAATTGTTTGCCATGGAATAGTTTTGCTATTCACTTGAAAATGAAACTGGGCCCTTTTTTAGCACACCCCAAATGACCTTGTAAGTGCATCTCTCTCATCAACGAAGACATTTCAGGACAAGTAGCAGAACAGCAAATTATCTCCCAAGTCTCATATATATTTAATTGCTACCCTCCCCTTGGATTCCTCACATAGTGAAATTTGACAAGTGGAATCTTGATTGTTTTTTTCTCATGCTATTCCCATGCTTTTTAATGGCAAGCAACTTCTCCCTGAGAATCTATTACCAAAAAATGAAACCTAGAAGCACGCTAAAAACTGCATAGAAAATTTTTCTTAAAATTGCACAGAAAATTGTCTTTATTCATTGGGCTTCTCCTGCTGTCAGAGGACACTTGCAACAAAAGAAACCCATCATGACATTAAGTAAATAAATGAACATTAGTGGACCATATCATGAAAAAATTAGGAATATATTTGGCATCATGTCTACATAAAATTTTTTGTGTTAACTGCAACATTCAATTATGTTTAGGGACTTCACAGGTCAAGAGAAAAGTATCACAGGGAAGAACATATGAAAAAAGGGTCAGATGAACAATTTGATTCAGCTATTGATGATGGCTTCATCCCATGGGCCATAGATGTTCCTGTAAAAGGATGAAGAATAAGAATCAAAACAGAGTTTGATCATCATCACCCATAATCATCAGTAAAAAAATGAGAATCCTTCACAATATGTAATGAACTAGTCAAAGCCCTGATCCTCTGGGTCTAACCTGTAAAGGCAGGCTACTGTAGACACAAAATATCCTGTACACACAGCTTACCCTGTACCCCCATGATCACTCAGATATTTTGTCTGAAAATTTTTAGATATCCATGCAGAATTGTAACAGTGCATATTGCATCTATGATGAAGAGGGCAAAGAACTCACTCTTTCAGTTTCTGCCATGAGACAAACCAATATGGACAGAGTCCACAGAGGAAGACAACTGTGCCAAAGAATATCATTGCATACACCCAGTCAAGTGACCATAATGCAATAAAAGTAATGAGGCTGATTACAGCTGTCACTTTGATTTCTTGCTCCCATGTTCCCACATTCTGCAACATGGAACCATAAATCCCCACTATATAGAAAAGTTTTTGAATGCCATTATGTCACTTATTTTAATGCCTCTAAGAGTCATGGCATTGCCATACTTCTAAAAAAAAACAAGAGCTGAAAGACACTGATACTGATGCAAATTGTTTAGTTCTGACAAACATAGGATGTCATCTGTATGATCCAGTATGGATATCATGCAATTGCAATAAACTGAAATTTTAAGATAATGGCAGCAAAAAAATATTATTTCTTTCACTCAACAACTCACCCATAATCTCTGGCAGAAGAGAGGAAAGAGGGCAAAGAGTTGGACAGCCAGTGTCATATGACTGAAGCTATGAAGAGTGGATGGGAGCCGTGATGCTAGGCAGATGCTAGCAAACATGGCAGCATTTAGTGACAATGCTTGACTGACACTGCAAATAAAAAACATTATTTCAGTGAGAAAACTAAAGAGCTTCTCACACGAATTATTCTGTTACTTTTCAAGTTAAACATAAATCATTTCTAGGAAGCAGTGTAAAAAGAATAAAATTAATTCCCAAGCAAAAATATGTCCAGGTAGACAATTTCAACTCCAACAACCACCACTAGTCTTGCAGAAGGGTCCACAATGAATCTGAGCTTATTTACTGCAAAAAATGAATGGGCACTGCAATAAAATTTTCCTGTATGTAATGAATAACATTGTAGTACATCCAAGAGTGGGAATTACATACATGAAAGGTACTCATAAAATTTTCTCATATAGATTCATTTTGTGAACACTAGAGGGGGGGACATGATCACATTTTACCCACCCAGCAGCCATATCTCATGCAACTTCAATACCCTAACAAACATACACTCCTGACAAAGAGAATGAAATTTCTGATCACCATTTAAGTTCAGGTTTATTTAGCTTGGAAAACTATTCCCATCTTCCATTTCTCACAATCACCTTCCATTCTCCCTTTTTCAGTTTGGACAACTATTCAGCAGCCCATCAAATGCACACATTCACATCAGGTTAATGGCATAAAATACCTTATTCCTTTCTCAGAGAAAAGAGATGCACTAAAGAAATAATACATCTAAACTGAAAACCTCACATAGCAGCATCAGCTCCATAATGATGAAAGATGAGATGAATGAGGAGCATGATGGATGATGTAGTGAAAATGGTGTCAGTGCTGATGGTTGCAGTCAGGGTCTGGAGAATTGGAGAGAATGAATATCCAAATGCCAAGAAGATCCCAACACTCTGCATGTCATCTTTCACTGGAAGATGATACAAAACCATGTCAATTAAGCACAGATACAGCATTTCAGGAAGAAACTTATAATAAAAAAATTAAAATTGGATTTCAATATTTGTCAGGGCTGTACTGGTAGCAACATTTGGCTGGTGGGCTGATGGCCAACTTTTTCCTCATAACCATTGACCCATGCTGGGGCCAGTGCCAATTGTGGCCTGTAGAAGAAATCACCTATAAATTTAAATAAGTCCGATTGGAAACCACGTGATACTTATCAGTCCCATCCATCCTGTCTGTCTCTCAATACTTTTATCTGTGGTTAGCCTGCTACCCATTGCTGCAGTTGAGAGCATTTCATGACAAATCTCTTGCAAAAGCATAATGTAAATGGAGATGCAATGATTTCCCATTCTTTACAGCTACTTTCCTCTGCCAGTTCCTATAATACAGCTGTAACATAATCTGATTGATATTTTTGCCTAGGAGAAGCTGGCAAGAGTGGCTTTCAGTGAGACAGGAGGGCCAGCGCTGAGGTGTGTTCACACCCTCTCAATTTTTTTTTTCACTTTACCTGTCCTTTGGGCACTGGCATCTGCACCATTGCCATAGGCCAATGACTGATGGTGCCAATAGTGCAACACTGGCGACCAATACCAATGTTAGCAAATACATCAGTACAGCCCTAGTATTTGTAGATGAACTCATAAACCTCAAGATTACTCTTTTTAGAATAAAATGCAAGTCAGAGCATATGTTTTTAACTTTCCTATCTCTTGTAAAGCATAAAACTGCAGTTTTGGTTGGATTGAATCAACAACACTGAAGAAATCTGTGGATATCCAAGAATAAACACCAGAAAGAAACTGAACAAAGCATATGGGCAATTCCATGCAAATGGGGACAAGATACTCAAAATTGTAAATCCTATAGTCAGTGTCAACCAAAAATGGATTATGCTGTATTTTATATTATCACTCTGCACAGAACTTCCTCACAAGTATAATGAAAATATATATCCATTTGTTTAAAAAACCTTTGTAGACCTCATATTCTTTGACTGTCCAACTTCATGCAACATGAGTTATGACCAATCTTTATCATTATTACTTCCTGAAAATAGATTCAAGAGTTCAGATATTATAAAATCATCCTTCATCTCTGCACTAGAATCTATCCATCACCAAATACAGTGATAGAAAGATCTTATTTCTGAGATTTATTTCAGAAGACTTCAGGTGACTGCCCCATAAATGTATCAATAATATGAGCTACAAGAACTCCAATCCAATTTGTTGCTCTCAAAAGTGCTTTAGAAAATTTGGCTTAATTTAATCAGCAAAAGATATGCCTACTATCACAATTCCTATTGCTGAATTCCCCCTCTGAAAATCAGGAAATCAGAGCACATCTGATTGCCCATATTTTTTTGAAAATTTTAACATGAGCCACAATGGAATTACTCATGTGCATTGGGCCAAGATGGGTGAAAGAGAAGGAAAATGGTAGCCAAGATGGGAAGAACCCTGACCTCCTCTTTCGTAGCCAAGGAATGAACGATAGTATGCATACGCAACTGCAGACAATACTCCACTCACAACCAGAAGGATGATTGGACTCAGCATCTCTTCATTGAGGAGCCAAAATATGATTGCAAAGATGCAAACTCTGGAAAAATACAAGAAACTACCAACATAAAAATTCTACTCTTCATATGTACAACTGCTAAAATACCCAATGCAAAATTATTTGATAAATACCCTTCAACATCTACCTTTGCTGCTGGTGCCAGATGAAAATAATGCAATACTCACCTGCACAGTTCTTGTACAACACGACAAGCCCCTCCCACAGCTTCAATGAGCTTCACATCAGGGACATTCACTGCAAGTGTCAGAGAAGGTAATTTGGAAAGTTAAGATTTTTTAACAATTTTTATTTTTACTAATTTTTCTCTCACTCATGGAAAGCATGACTTGAGGGGTATAAAGGGGGATTTTCTGTACAGAAATTTCTTAAATTTGCATTTGCATACACTTAGCTCATTGCATAAAAATAAATTTATTTATTTATACAAAGGCATACTTTAATTTCACAATTTTCATCATTAATGGATTTCATGTCTGCTTCCATAACCTATTACCAGCACCAACAATTTCTTTGCAGAGGAAAAGCTCATTTAGTGGTGCTATATAGTATTAACATAAATACTGTATAGGGATGGGGCAGTCAATTGACCACCTTTTAATTGACCATTATTGACCACTAATTTTTTTAATTCAGTGAATTAATATATTTTTTATAGAGCTCATAACTGTGATCATTTATCCCCCAGCACTAAAACCAAAGAGCCAGTTCAATTTTTAAGATTTGAAGTACGTCGGACGGTTTGTGGATCTGACACCGTGGACAACGCATACTTTTGTAAAATCGTTTACGCGTTTGATGCATGACCTTTCACCTGAGTGATGCAGAGTGTGTGTGCAGGCATAGCTTACTGTTCAAAGTTTTATAGCCTCAAGGACTTTCAAAGTTAAGGTTCAAGATATAAGTAACAGCTTTAGAACTTTAGTTTCCTGCAAGGTCAATCATGGTCTTGGCTAATAGTCTGTATCAGAGCATCAAATTATTCTCAAAGTCTGTGATCATGGGACAAGTACATGGGTTATGCCTATGCCTATGCCTAAAAAAAATTAATCTAGCTATGAAACATGATTCATTACTGTTTACCCTATAGATCGCATGAGTTGGAACATTAAATTTATCTTAGCAATGAGATATATAATGGTGCAAAAACTACAAAAGAAAAATAAATAATAATAAATAAAAGTTGGTCCTATTTACCAAAATTGGCCATAGTTGACCATATTGACCGGTCAATTGACATGTTTTTAATTGACTGGTCAATAACCCATCCCTACATAAATATCTTAATATATATGCTATATATTAAAATAACATGGGATTGTGAACTAATAAGTTAATCAAATTCTGAGATGGTTGACCACAGACCACTGTTACACTTGACATGAAATGATGTAAAAAAAAGTCATAAGCCTACGCTTGCAAACTTTTTGATCAAGCCTGAAATCTAATCTTCTTTATAATGGGACGTTAAGTGGACATAAAAGACTGTGATGGGTTTTCAGCCTGACTTGGCCACCTGGTCTCCCAAGTACTAAATCCCGGGATCTCAGCATGAGTTTTTTCAGTTCAATGACCTGCAGACCAGGTGTAGTCACACACAGGTAGTTTAACCATACTGTAGGTTATTAGGTGCCAGAGGCAACTACAAGGTGACTCAAAATTTTCTAATCCTGAACTGAATAATCTTTCATTTTGGCTGCAGGTATAGCATTGATAAGTATGGCAGTCCTACTTGCATGCTTCTTAAATGAAATTATTGATCTCTGTTTCAACAAGCCAACCAGGGGCATTTGGCCCTCCCATGATGCAGGAAAGTTTATAGCTATGATGTAAGGTCTTTTACACAGCCTAGGTCCTGCACAGATGACAGGACACAAAGTGATGGAGACAGTTCTCAGGAATAGTCCATTACATACACTCTTATGAACCTTCCAAGCAGTGAGGAGTAGAGAACTGGTTCCTCTTCGTCATTTAATGCCAGAGGCATTATAGTATGTTGAGACTTCTTGATGAAGAAGTTCTTCTACAATCCATAGGTTCTCCCAAGGGCAAATGGGATTCCTATTACCACAATCAGGTCTGGGTGTACCTTGAGTGAACAGTGACTAGTGTATGGAAACTAGGCACATTTGGGAGCGCCACTAAGACAAAGCCTGTGATAGTAAACCTTGGCCTTTGGAGTGGACAGAGATCAGGTACAAGGAGTGTAGAGGGTAAGGAATCACATTTCCCTAGGTTCACCAATGCAGTCCTAAGCTCCCTGAAGCAGGTTGTGCTAGGGCTAGTCTTTACCAGCAGGTTCTTTTTCCTCTAGCTACATACACCATTCCTTGGTGGACAATTCACAAACATCTCCACTTGGCAACAAATGAGGGACATTCCAGGATACAGGGCTAAGAGACACATGGGAAGCCATGTATTCATAGAGTGCCACCAGATCTCATTGAAAAAGTATATAGTTTCAATATTGGCCAGACCTGTGACAAAAGAGATGCCATCTCATGACTGCCAATGGGGTGCACAGAACCACTGATCCCAAGTATGAATTGAGAAAGAAAGCAAATATGTAAACACAAACCTATACACTTTTTACAGGTCACCACAAGACAACAGACCTTTTCAATTACAGCAAATAGAGGAGACACCTCCTTGGCTCAGGTACCACAGCCAATACTAAAGCTTTCAAGATGAGATATCCCTCCATGGTCCTGTGAAAGGCCCTGGGGCCAGCTCATGGGTTGTCTTGGCCCATGACTGGCACAACTGCCATTTAAATTGCACTGCACTGGTATCAGCTAGGTATCATGGTATCATGGCACCCAGAATGATGTGTTACATCAATGCTAGGTAGACACACCCTAGCATGCAAGTGGGTGGCCCAGTGGGTGACCCAGTCATGGAAAGAATATTGCATTTGCTTATTTGCAATCAATTAATGAATGCATTATCCATTCAAAGTGTCTAGGATATGGTTTAAGTAATGTTTAGCAGTTAGATCTGGACAAGCTTGGAAAGGAGATAATGGGGTAATCTGGTCTAAATGTGGCTGATACCCTGAGTTCACTGCCATGTGGTGGGAAAGACAGGGATGGTGTTTGTGGGCCCAGGGTATTCTGAAGCACAAACTATCACCAGATCTTTAGGCCATGGGCCATTTAAGATGTGAGGAAGGGAAAGAGCCACATTGAAAAAGTAAGTCACATGCTGCCATAGAGACACAGCTTGGGACTGCATAAAAGCACCTTCACAGACTCTTCAATGCATCTTCAATAACTCTAACTTTTTCATGATTTTCTTGAAGCATGTACCTTTCTAAGAATGGAAATTGAAATTTGTCATTTTGAAGTCATCCACAAAAACTCTGTCTGGTTTAAAACTAAAGCATTGATTCATTTTGCCACCAGCTTGAAATCCTGGTTAGAAACAATTATATTTTCCAGCTGGACCCCAGCTGTGAGTTCAGACCCATTTCAACTGGGTAACAGCTGAAAAGTAAAGTCAGATCCAGATTGGTTCCTGGTCACAATACAACTGGTGGAATGAGAATGTTTTTGTTGGGTATTCTTACAGTAAGTCCATCAACAGAACAAACTGAATTTCAACTGTAAATTCAGCTGCATTCCAGCTGGAGGGTACTCTGTATAAAATTCTAACTGTAAATTTCCAGCTGGAAACAGCTATTAAAATCAGTCGAATTCTAGTTTGAAAATTCCAGCTTGGAAACAACCTGTATCTACCATTTCCAGTTCTTTGCAAGCTGGAAATGGTCTGAATTAACAGCTTCAGTTCAGCTGGAAGATTCTAGTTGGGATTTCAAACTAGGCAGGAATAAAAATAAATTTTAAAATGTCCAACCATCTTATGAAAATTATGACTGCAATCTCACCATTGGTTTTCATAGCCTCCAAGAAGGACCTGTCAACATAATTGTCAGGAACTCTTTGTTGTTCATAAAGAACTTTGCGCCACTGTTTGTTTTCCTGGAAGACTTTTGTGTTGCAGGTCATGACTAAGTCAATGCTTGGTCTAATAATCCCAAACTTCACCTGGAGAAAAAAAAGTACTCCACAAATAATCCATTCCTAAATAAGAAGCTAAGTATTTCTTTATAGGATCCCAAGGCTTCTATGATCTAATATTCCTTTTCTTTTCATTATCTTTGCAATTTCTAGAGGCTTTTTATTTAAGACTGCTTCCTCATAGAAGTTGGATTCAGATAGATTAACAACTTTCAATAAAAAATGCAACTGAAAAAAATTATGCTTAAGAATTCCTTATGTAGATCGATGGTCTAGTCATAATGCAATTAACAAAGTATACTTAACCCTTTGACTGCCGTTCATGCCATATGGTGCGTTCAGCATGGGAGAAGTGCTTCGCAAAGCGAGTTTGGCTGGACATTTCAATCCCCACACAGTGGGTTAGCAGGCAATAATAGGCCAAAAAATCCAGTGTCTCAGGTTTGTCCCAAAATTTTTCCACAAATATAGGAACCCAGACTCCTGAAAATGTAATAATATTTTGTAGATGAGGCGAACAAAAATGCCATTCCGATACTGTCAAATTGACAACATTGAAATTTTCCTCAATATTTTCAAAAATCTGACCAATTTTTGAAAAAAGGTGAACCATGAAAGACTGCGTTAATCTCTATTTGGCTTATACCTCTCGATGAGGTAATGTCTTAACAAAAATGATGCATTATTTGCAGCTGGTGATCTCATCTCCTGTAAGTCACAAGGGGGTAATTCCAGGGATGGGTGATAAATTCACACTTTTCTGACTCTTCAGGGCTATCTATTAGATGCTATTAGATGGCACTATTCTGCTTCTTCCCAGAAGTTGGTACTTGTATTAGGAATAAAACCATGGGGGGTTTTTCAGCAAGTTGTAGCAACATGAATGACAAAAGATTTTTCATGTGTTTCATAAATGGGTACTTCTGGAATTACGAACAAAATACCACACAGGATCTATTTGGTTGCATGAAAGAGTAAACATTTGGAATTGCAAGATTGATTTTCCAAGGATTTCGGGGTTCAAATCAGTGAAACGTTATATACTTCCTTGAAAGACACTGTGTGGAGATGTCTTGATTTAAGATTTCTTCCTGTGCCACTCTATTATTGCCTGACCAGCACAGCCCACTGTGCCCCAGCAGTCTTGACGTGTCCAGGGCGCCAAACATCCACGCTGTTCTGAAAAGTGCTTGGCAAGGAGAGGTTGGCTGGGTGTTTCAATCCTTGGCAGTCAAAGTGTTAAGTTTTCATTAGAGAGCGTGGTTCTTACACTATAATAATTGTCAAAGTAATTCAAAACCTTTTCTATAGAGATGGAGCTTTAAACCTTATGACTCCATCACAACAAATTCAATGTAGTTTCAGTCTAAGGGGCAACACCCTTACAGGATGATCATATATGGCTGTTATATGTAGTTACCTGAGTCATATCAATTTATATATTTTTAATGTAATGATGTAGGAAGTTATATATATGAGAGCATATATGGTTAAAGTATAAAATCTGTTTGAGGCTCACTTATACATAAACATATCAGGACTGCATATATTCCCTATGTAAACCTACATGCATCATCAAGTTTGAGGGAGGGGTTCATGCATATATGATTGATATACAAATATGAGCAACCTAACATTATCTGACAGATGGTGCAAGTTTTGTCCAACACAGGCTTCTCTTGTTAACCATGAACACCATGTTCCATGGCAGCAACTGTGCTAGCAAATTTCCTGAGACCAAGGTGTATAACATAGTCTAAGTTACCAATTAACACGTTGACGACCAGCCTATTTTTGCTTGTCCGCCGCGTGGGACCACGTGCATTTTTTTTGCCAAAAAATGCGTCCTGCCATCAGGACGCATAGTCCCAGAAAACATTTTTTTGCCGAGCTTTTTTAAAATGTTGAATTTTTTGGAATTTTTATCAGTAATTACGAAATCATAATCTTCTGGAACGTTCTCAACAGTTCCAGAGGGTATTCATTGAAAATGTGGAAGTNAATTACGAAATCATAATCTTCTGGAACGTTCTCAACAGTCCCAGAGGGTATTCATTGAAAAAAAATCTGCATCCTGGCATCAGGACGCATTGTCGCCAACGTGTTAAAAGTTGGCAGAGCTGTGAGACAAAAGGAAGAGAAATAGGATGCAACATGAATAAGTTGATGGTCTCAAAATGAATACCTAATATTGACACTTCCACAGAGACTCTGCAGCGGTTACTTTCATTTTTTCTTATTCATCCCTAATTGACAGTGCAACTTGCATAACTTGGAACTCTAGCTGGGAGTAAAATTTTTGTAAAATTTAAAACTAAAAAGGACATTTTTGTTCACTTATTTCAGCTTGCTTCATTTTCAGCAAGATAAGGAGGCATTTTCTGTATTTTCATTGCCATTGAGGTGACAGATGAAGAGCATTCTGCAATTCTCAGCATAATTCCTGGCATCATCATTGATATTTGAACAAGATTTGCAAGGATGACATACCACATGTGCTTCATTCCTGATCTGATCATGTCTCCCATCAGACACACAATATATATGGTCCCACCTTATACAAAATAGATATACCAAAGTAAGATAAATATATTATCTGCTGCTCCATATTTTTCACATACATGTCTATCAAGTTTCTCCATATATGATCATATATCCACTTTTTAATAAGAATATATAACATATGTATTTCCTGTTATATGTTCATTTATTATCATATATAAAGGACCACATATGTCACATGCATAATATATACATATTTCTCATAAAATCATACATGATTTTTCTGCATAGACCATGTGTACCATATAATGGAGACAGCATTCAGGCAGTTATTGCCTGTTCAAAGTAGGCTGACTGAGCCACAAAATTTTGAAAATTCTTTTTGTAGAATGAATTTTAAAAAAAAAAGCCCAAAATATTTGAAAAATTCCTTCCTCAAATTGATAAGTTGAAGGCCTGAATGTTTTATTGTTGTGCCTATTGTTGCAATGCTACATTTTATTGTCATTGTTTATTTTAAAAATATTTTTTGGTTTGGAATGCAGCATACCTGCTATACCATGCTTTAAAGGGTTAAGAGTTAGGTGGTGGGTGGGCCAAATTGAGACTCAAATAAATCAAAAGGATAGAGGATTTTTAGGAAAGAGATGGGTGGGAGCTTAGTATGGGTATCAGGGACACCAGGTAGTAAATCATACATAACTCTTACTATTGCAGGCCTCTTACTATTTTGGCACATGGCCAAAAGTTTTAATTTCTGGAGAATGCTATGGTGATACACAAATTATTTTGTACCACCTTTAACATGTACTCCATAGGCCTAACATCACTTACTTCATGGAAGATACAATATCATTTCCTTGGATGCAATCTAGACATAATATGCAAAATGTGAAAGATATGAATTCATTTGCAAATCATTCAAGGCATATGTACTGTTAGGCCTATTTTAAATATCATATTGACAGTGACCATCCATCAGGTGTCATCAGACAAAACTGGCCTTGAGTGATGAGCCTAAATTTGCATAGGACATTGATATCATTTTCTGGCTTTTCCTGCTGGTATAATACATAATTACCTACATTTTGAACAACAGATATACACTTTGCACATGAGGTTGCTAAACCTAGCAGCAAAGGGAAAACTTCCATAGTGCCTGGGAAAAATAATGCCAAGAATTAACAATAGTTCAAAATTTGATCTTTCATCCATGTACAGTCCTCAAAATTATTTTCACCTGGTTCTGTATAGAATCTATTGCCAAGGCCAGTTTTTTTTTATATAACTGGAATGAATATAAGCCATTCCCAATGCTGCATTAAGGTTGCCAGAACATAACACAAGCCAAAATATTCCCCATGTTCCACATTTAAAGTAAAACATGAACCATACTAAACATTTAACATGTTTCACAATCAAGCCTGAACATTCCAAATTATTCATGTTCCACTCAGCAGTGACCACATCTGTCAAGTGTTTTCCAGAAATGTTCCATAATTTGTGATTTTGTCCCCAATCCCCAACAGATGAAATTTCCCATAATGGCAGGTGTGCCACCTTCTTTGTCATCTACTAGGCCTAAACTTATTTACTTATTCCTGCCTAAGATTAACATTATTGGTAGTAAACTGCACAGGCAGGCAGTGAAGAATGCAGGACCTTCATCTCCTTCACTTTGCTTTTATATTTTTTCAAATACAGGTAATTTTTGCATCAAAAATCAAAATTGTTGATGTTAAGAAACTGAGAGAAACATATCTCAAAGACCTTTCAACCATACATGAAATACATGTAAAAAAAATTTGCCCTCAGTTATTACGAATGTAACTGTTTGTATGCAGATGACAGTCACTTAAAAGTGATGTTTTCGCAATGAGTTCACACCCCATCCCTAAAGTGCTGGTGTTATTAGCGTTTCGATAAGGATATCTACCAAACGTCAGTTCACGTTATATTTAGAGTCGGAGAAATTTTAATACTGCTGGCGTCGGTAAGCCCAAAGAAAACACTGGTTTCCACGAAAAGAGTGAGCGAACTTATCACGAAATCACTGTAACTTCGGATACATGGCAAGTAGAGAAATACTATAGTGTTTTTCACTTGACTCAGACACACGTGCATGGGACGTTCCTCATGCATGAGTGTCGAAGTCAAGTGAAAAAGTGTCTAACTGAGGTGAAGAACACTGTAATGTCTAGCAAGTGCAACTTTGGTTTCATGCAAAAATTACGAACTCGTAACAACGCTAAATCTCTTTTCATCGTTCTTCACTCAAACGAAAGAGAAACTTTGCGTATGCCACCGCCAACAGCCATGTGAAGATCACATGGTCATTGCTGGGCATCACCATATCGCCATGATAGAAAGCAGGCTAGCAACCCCCAGTGGCAACCCCTCTTCCGCCCAGTCCTGGGCAGAAACTCCATCCACCTCATGCGCGGAAAAGGTACCTTTTACGACTCTCAATTTTTATTTAGACAACCTAGGCACATGAAACTTTCAGAAAACAAATTTTGTGGTGTTCCTAATGTGATACAAAAACAACACGAACCAGATTATCCACAGTGGGTTTTATAGAACGTCTAACAGGATGCGTTTTTTAGGAGCCACCCGATATTGGCGCAAGGTGCGATTCGTCGACGTGAAGTTAACTGTCTCCGATGTCCGTCGTTAAGGAGCAGTGTCGCTAAAGGAGAGGGGCATATAGTAAAGGAAGCATAGGGAGATCGGTGACTTCAATAAATGAATTCGATCAAATCTGCGAAGTTACATTTAAGTTGATCCTCAATTATCAATCATCCTATCCATTCTGCAAAAACTCAAGGCCAAATCAGTATACTCTATTTAGCGTCCCTTATGATGTGCAAACCATCCTGCACGACATTTTGCTTCAACTTGTTTTCCATTGCAGTGTCGAACCTACGAGAAGGGACGTAACTCAGTGGAAAATTTGGGTGTCGTTTCTGCAGGGTATAGAAGGTTGAGTCAATGCAGAGGTAAATATTGCAACTAGTGGCGTCTTCTCTGCACCATGGTCAGGCCGAGAACTTGTTTGACAATCCTCTCACTAATATGAGGAAGATTTGACCTGGAATCGACCATCACTGCCAGCCCCAACGGCAACATGTGTCCCACTGGCTCTGAACCGAATTACCGCTATTGTTCTCTAGTTCTTCGCTTCCTTGATTTGCGGTGAGAGGCGAAGTTTTTTTTTTTTCCAAGTCGGTGAGTTAACGACTGAAAAAAAGTTTGGGAACCGCTGCCTTGACTGGTTTCCATGATCCCCCCCCCCCCGGAGTGCTCGCGGGAACAGCCGGCCTCCTCTGGGTCGTGCTCGTCCCGCTTTTTCAAGATATGTACTGCCAAGAACGCGTCTAGGATTTTCGACTTCCATTCAGTTTCACGTAGTGTTACCATACATCCGGTTTTTCCCGGACATGTCCTATTTCTTAGCTTTCCGTCCGGGAGGAAGGCGTCTCTATGGGTTACTATACGTCCGGATATTTTCCTTGGACAAGTCCCGTCGTTTTCGGAATAAAATTTCCGTCCGACTTCTAAGGGTAGATTTTTGAACAGAGCACTATCCGATAATGCAGCTTTATTTACCGGATTTATAATGCATTTTCTCTTAAATAAAGCTGCATTATCGGATAGTGCTCTGTTCAAAATCCACCCTAAGCGTCCTCTTTTTGGCTGTCCGGAATATGGTAACCCTAGTAACACGGAGAGCGGTGGGGTTAGAATCCATGTAACTGAATGGAGCTTTAAAAAAATCCTAGACACCTCTCTGGGTTGTACCTTCGCAAATTGTCAATCTCTAGGAGTTTCATTACGCAAAATTGTATTCTCAAAAATTATTATTAATGTCATCCCTGCTTTCGGGCATAGTGTCTCCAGAAGAGCTGGAATCCCATGAGGACCGATTGCCTTTCCCAGTCCTATTTTTAATCTCTTTCTCTAAAAAATGCAATATCCTCTTTAAATTTAATGAGCAATGGTCTTGATCGTTGCCAGTACTTCATTGGATTCCCGCATGAAAACAGAAGCAGAGATATTGTTCAATGTCTTCAACCATACTTCTGTAATTCGTAACGAACTCCCCCTTAACGTTGTTGGACCCGATTCGTCGTTGATCCCATATCACTCATTATAATTACCGGGCGCTATGAACAGCGGACATAGACATATTGCGGGAGGAATGACTATTTGGCTTTTATTGCTTGTATTAGAGCTATCCCAAGAGTGTTCGCAGTCACGCACCCTTTTGACTTAAAACCATTCTACAGGAATCAATGCTAACAATGTACAGGGACTTCTAGAAGTCACATTCGCTGTTCAAGCGGCTGTGTAGCCGTTTGAACCTTGCCCTTCCCTCCCATTAGCCTTAGGCCCCTCATAACCTTAATCCGGCCTTGCACGGAATAGGTCGGTTTCTTCTATCGCTCAAAATATTTTACTTTTATATATTTGTCACACAGACTGCTTCTTTGCATAGGAGTGTTTCAGCTCTGGGTGATGACGTTTCCACTACAAAGTTCACTTCTTTCCCTTTCACCCTCCAAGAACATTCTTTTATGCACTTACCGGTATTTGTTTTTCATGTTAGAGTACTCACGGTGGCAGACTTTCCTTGTTCCTTTTTGAGGGTATCCAAACTCCACCGAATCCTTGATAGCATCCGGTGGTGGCATCATGGTATGAACCATGGCATCGAAGACGTGAAAGTGACTTGAGTGTTAAGGGTACCGAGCTTAACCGAATCTCCTCTTTTATATTTCCAAACGTCTTTTTTGCGGTTCCTTACAAATGACATTCTTTTCGAAGTTCACACTTTCGGTCTTTTGAGAAAACTGGGGCTCCATTAGGCTTTCTCTTCTTTCAGTCATGTACCGGATGGCTGGGAAGTCACTCCCTGTTTTAAAATTGTAATTCTGTATTTTTTGGACTAGAACGGCTTTTACGCCATATAAAAAAATTGGATTGGGTTTATGATTTTGATTTATTTCTTTGCAGTGACCCACACCATGGTGCCAATATTAAATCTTCGACATTGCGCAAATAGCTGCACGGTGAGGTGTGGAAGTCCTCCGTTGCGGTCCAGAGGTGGTGGTGAAGGATACAACTTCCTACCTCCTCCGCCTCCACAAGTCATACCCCGAAGCTTCTTGCGCATGGTGTCGAAAATTCAATTTTGGCATCATGGAGGGTCACTGCAAACAAACAAATCAATAAAATCATATTACCCCGTCAAATTCTCTTTCTTTGGGCACAAAAACCATGATTCTAGTCCAATAAGTGGAGAAGTTATTACAATTTAAAAATGGAGTGACTTTCCAACTAGACTATGTTTCGGCGTTGTGATACATACCCTCTCGTTGAGCTATGAAACGAGCTACTCATATCTCAAGGTACGAACAGATGGAGCATTACTTTCACACCGCGACTCGGCTCTTCGTAGATGCTGGCGTTCGTTTCTCCAGGTCGTATAGAAACCTTAACGAAGGCGCGGTTTTTTTTTTGGGCACATTTTTATTCGTTAATCCTCGCGGCAAAACGCATATTGGATTGACTCAACATATCGATTTCCTCTGCCATCTGACTTCACTGGGCCACTCCTGCATCACACAAGTGTCCACGATAAATGAAATCTACTAGAGAAGACAGTTTCTAGTCCCCCTTAGCACTTAGTCTGGGATGATCAGTCTTCTCAGATAATGGTCTTTCCTTTCATTACCTGGCAGCTCTCAGGCGGATCAACCGTTCATGATGTAAAATATGTTTCAAAAATTTAGAAAGATAATTTTAAAGGAAAAGCAAAAAAAAAAATTTTAAGTAAGTTCTCACAGAATGTTGGGGTGATGATCCACTTCACTCATTCAACGAATTTCGCAGGCTGATCAAATAAAGTAAAAAGTTTCCTTTTGGAAGAAACTTCATGGATCCCTTGCACAATATTGCAGTAGCCATACATCAGAAATGTAGCACTTAGCAGAATTCCTTGTTTTTGGAAAACACATTCCCCAAACAGCCCAACATGATGACTTGATGAGGGCTCATCTCATTTCCATAGGGTCCAACTTCCCTGAATTTTTTTGCTTTGCAACAGTGCATTGTAGAACTTAAAAATCTCATCTGGGTGACAACCCCTAGGGTCTTTGAAGAATTTTATGGAAATATCAATTATTGTCAGCTTCAAGTGTTTCATGCATAAAGATAAAATGTCTTCAGATTGTAATTCATATTTCTGTTTTCAGTTCTGGATTAGTTGAAACCTACTGCATGCTTGAGCATGTTGCATATTGAGAGAGCCAGAGTATTCCAAGCTTTATTGGACTTGCAAGTTGATATGATGGAATGGGAATTCTTCTATCATGTCTTGAGAGAGAGTTTAAAATCCTCTTTTCCACAAGGAACTGTAACTCAAACAGGGATAATTGATGGAAATCATATGCACATCTGCAACAGACTTGGAATCATGGTTCTAGAGATATTCTGTACTTTACTGATAGACCATGTTGCAAGAAATATAGCAGTAGATGACAGACACTGGAGCAAGCATGCTGGAGTGATGAAACCATAATGTAATTCTACAGATTCCTGGAAAGAGACTTTTTGAAGGGCTGAGACAATTTCTTGCACATATCCAGGGTGACCTGCAGCATAACATTGATGGGATCACCTCTCAACGCAATGCACAACCTCCTCTGCTTGTACCCCATGGTGGCAAAGCATCACACAAATCAATACTTTCATGACTACTTCTTCAGAGATACCTGTATGAACATTATCAACAGTGACCACAAGATCTGTCTACAAAGTTCTAGATAGCAGCAGCACCAGAGATGATCTCAATCAGCTCCTTCGTGATTACTGCTTGACGAGTTCGATTGAATGTCAATGTGAGCTTGTCAATCATCTCTCCTGTGAATCATAAAAATAAAATATTTCAGATCAAGAATGATTCAATGAGAAACATTTACTTGTTTGATGAAGAAAGTAGAGTTCATCAAGATATTCACCTGCATTCTTGGTGGCACTGTCCATGGCAGTCATTCGAGAGGACTGCTCAGAACATGCACCTTCCTTCATTGCATAAAAGAGTAGAGATGTGAGGGAGTACTCCATATAACTCTGCATCACTTCATTATCAAGGCTGTCATATATTGGATACTTTTCTGATTGCATCACCTGCTCCATGCTAAAGAGCGGCAGTTGGCTTGTACGGTATGACACAACCGACCTGTGAATAAAATTTTCATGCACTATGTCATTTGAATAGGCATATAGAATGACAGTAGCATTCCTTCAGCTCAATTTGGAATAACTGGACAACTTCATTCAAGTGCCATCACCAGTGCCCAATATCATTCCACTGGTTCAACTCAAATTAATGAAACCTGTCCACCTGCATAGTATTTCAAACCCCTTCCCTTGCATTCAGCAATAACTGCAGGCTTTTACACAACATGACAGAGAGTTCACTTGAAACAGACAACAATCAGAGGGAGACTACTGAGTCCATGGGATGTTTCTTCCCCATCATCCATAACATCAACAGGAAAGATGTAAGAATGAATGCATAATGTTTGTTCAGAAAAGAACTTTTTTGAAGTACAGGAAGGATTCAGGAAACAAGAGTGCAAATACATATTCAGGTATATACACAAAATATACATTACTGAAACATTGTGTTCACTCAAGGTTTACTATCTGCCCCTTCAGTATTCTATAAATAAACCCAGGATTCAGAAGAAGAGATAAAAAATCATATGAATATGAATAATTTTTTAATGGCAAGATGAGACAGAAATTTTGAAAGTAACAGATAAATTACTGATTAATCAAAATACATATTGATAATGAAGAGTGAAAATGCATGGCAAAAGTAACATGGCTCCAAAGGATTCCACTTTTGAGGGACATTTCAGGCAAGGTAGCGAAGGATAATACATGTAGTAGGTTCAATAAGTTTCCAGACTGGGTTTGTTTTGCATCACTAGTAACAACTGGAGCAATTCAGCTGGTGTTTCCTTCAAAGTCGTGACCCTGGATAGTCACACAGTTTTGCCATTGCTTGCAAAGTTTTATTAACAGGGGGCAAAATGACTTTGTTGCTTCCTCCTTCAGCATGGCTATTGCAGCTTCCATCAATCATCTCATCAGTGCTAGAAAAGCATCTTCCCTTCAGAAGATTCTTCATGCGCAGGAACAGGTAGAAATTACACAAAGCGAGATCAGATGAGTAAGGCAGATGTGCAAGACAGTTGTTCCAGTGTCTGTCAAGAACTGTCACCATCAGTGACAGATGATTGGATGCATTGTTGTGAAGAATCCAATTTTTCTCTGCCCACATTTCTGTTAGTTTCCTCTGGATTGCATCATGGAGGTAACACAAAGCATCTCTGTAGAACTCTTCACTGACTGCTTACCCCTCAGGAATAAATAATGCAATGGGAGTCAAAGGAAACCTCCAACAGGACTTTTCCTTTGGAATAACCTGCCCAGAACTTCCTTAAATGTGATGAACTCTTGTTCTTCCATGCAGATGATTGTCACTTTGTGGATTGTACAGAAACCCCATGTCTTGTCACCTGTTATGATCCCCTTCAACAGGGTAGGGTCAGTGTCAATGAGCCCTATGCAGATTGTCTTAAGAGATATGTTAACAGGCTGCAAGTTCTTCAACACCCTGGTAACAATCCCTACAAATACATTCCCTCTCTTTATGATTCCAGTATGTATTGTAGAAGGTCTTCTGGAACATGGGTCATCCTCCAAGAAATTCAACCCCTCCTTGAAATGTTAATACCACTTGAACCCCAGGGACTGCAGATGTCACATTGTTGCAATAGGCTTCCTTCAACAGTGTGAAGGTCTCTGTAGGAATTTTCCCTAATTTTTGAAAAAATTTGTCATTCACACTGCTCAAATGTTGACATGTTTGCAGAGCAACAAATGATACTTGGTACTTTTTATATGATGGACTCTAGCAGCCTTCAGGTGAAGATGCCTAGTTTGGGCATAGTCCTCCCAGTCTGGAAACTTTTAGAAATCACTATGTATGATCAACAATCCAAGAGATGTGCATGCCAAAACTGCAAATGAAAAACTTTAGCACCATTAGAGATTATTAGTAAAGATCCCAATGGCCAAAGGAACTACAACATACTAATTATCCCATAAATCATCAACACTGGTGCTCCTATACAACTGTATAGGGGATTGACAACTCAATTGTAGAGAGAATCAAAAATTATTTAATCCCCCAAGTGTGAGTTTCCTGGTAGGCAGCAACACCTCCAGGGTGACTAATTTTTAATGTTTGCCTCTTTTGAATGCATGGCTTCACAAAAAAAATAAACAACATTACCAAGACATGCTGCACATGCTTCATTACAGTTAGTGAGAGAGCAGCATATGCCCTCACATCCACTTGGGTAGTAAAAGGAAATATGCAAGGATAATGAGGTTTTCAAGCTTCAGGGAACTTTTTTTTTCAGAGGAGAATACTTAGAGGTTATGTGAATAACAACTATCCTGAAAAGTTTCCTCTGCCACAAAGAAGTCTGGCATTTCCTTCAGAAAAAGTTGAAGAATTTCAAGACCAGAAGTTCAAATGCTGTACTGGGTTTGCCCAAAGTTCTGGAACATCAATATTCTTTTTCGTTTGTGTGGTTGTAGGAGTGAAGGAAAAATGTTCCAACAATTTCTTTAGTTTGTTTACTCTGTTGGCTCTGCAAAAAACAAAATATTGGATTTTTCCTTCTGGAAATGGAGGCCAAGAGAGAGGCAGTTCTGCAGCTGCACAATGCTGGAAAGTGTTCCAGCGAGATTGTGAAGGAACTTCGGGGCCTCGCCATCGACAGGAAATTTGCCTGGAGGACGCTGAAATGGTTCAGTGAGACAGGCTCAACTGCTGACCGTCCAAGGTCCAAACGTACCCCTGAGGCCATCAGGTCCATCAGAGACAAGAATCGTTGGAATCCACAGAGGAGCATGACTCAGATGGCCAAGGAGTCCGGCATGGGTGCTACGACAATGAGGAAATTAGTCCAATACGACCTCAAGATGCGACCCTCCAGAAACGACAGGTCTTGTCTGAGAACACAAAAGGCCAAGAGGCTTGCCTGTGCCAAGGAAATGTTAAAAAAGCTGAAAAAAGGTGAACTGAAGGACATTCTCTTCACAGATGAGATGTTCACCGTCCAACGCATCCACAACAGACACAATGACAGGGTTCTGGCCAAGGACATCAAACAGGTCCCCACAGAACTTAAAACAGCTTTCCAGAGGCAACATCCAGCATCTGTCATGGTCTGGGCTGGCATCACTGCCTCCAGCAAGACCTCCCTCATGTTCGTCCCCCCTGGAGTCAAGGTCAATAAGGATTTCTACATCAAACACATCTGGAGGATGTGGTCACCCCCTGGGCCAAGAAGAAATTTGGCAAGAAGCCCTGGACCTTCATGCAAGACAGTGCCCCAGCACACACTGCCAAGGCTACTCAGGATTGGCTGAAAAAGCAAGATTTTGGATTTCTGAGCAAGGAGGAGTGGCCCCCCTCTTCCCCCGATCTGAACCCCATGGACTTTTCTGTGTGGACCTACTTGGAGACCAAGGCCAGTAGCATCAACCACCCAAATCTGGACTCCCTCAAGTCGGCCCTGACCAAGGAGTGGGCCAAAATGCCTATGGATTATGTGTTCACCTCAGCCAACGCCTTCAATGGACGTCTCCAGCGCTGGTGCAAGGCTGGTGGAGGCCATTTTGAATAATTTTTTGTCCACATGTACTCTATGTAATAACCATCTATGAAAAATTTGAACTTGATTCCTCTAATACTTCCTGAGTAAATCCAAATTTGTCATGTTCCAGAACTTTGGGCTGACCCGGTATTCCATATTGAATATTTTAAGTTGCAGAACATAACTTGAATCACATTGGAAATGAAATTGCAAAATACACAATATAAATTTAAAAGCACCCCCTAAACAAAATGTATCTTCAAAGCAAGTTTGTTTAAATACTTATTGTATGCAAACAGAGTAAATATAATCAAAGTAAAGTAACAGATCCAGTCATCTTGGGTAAACCTAAGAAGTTCATATGGTCTGGCCACCTAAGACATCCAACAACATATAATCCAGGAGATTCCACAGCGTCATCATTCACTTTTGGTTATTTGCTCCTTTCTCTCCCTGTGCTTCCAGATCTCCTCTTGTTCCTTTTTGTTTATATTTCTCTCTTTTGTATTTTTCTCTGTATATCCCTATTAGGTTTGTCTTTTCTCTTCATGCATGATAAAAGTTTTCAACACTGTGAAACACTGCAAATGAATGAAAGTGCATAAAGAACAGGCTTGTTGCAAAAAAATAAAAAGAATAGGGAACCACAATGTAGTAATGACCAAGCCTTCGATTCCTTGGGTGAAATATAATGTGATGAATGTGTTTGACAACAGAATGCCATACAAGTGAGGAGTGCATGAAGTAAGCCTAATTAAAATGCTCACTTACTTGAACCAGTTGTAATATATGGTCCCAGAGGAAAAATCATATCCAGAGGAAAGAATGGCCTGAGCAAGCTTGGCAGCATCTCCAAATACTGGGGGTTTTCTTCCCACTTCTGAAGCCACATAAAGGATCTGTTTCTGATAAAGCCTATGAAAGATAAAAATAAAAAACAACTGTAGCCAGTTCATTGCTATGAGTTAATTCACCTGAATCAATTAATTCAAATTTAAACATTTCATGGTGCATTGTCAAGACAGTGGTTATAGAGGACTTTAAAAAGGAAGTGAAGAATGACAAAGCTTCTAACTTCTGGAGGATGGTTCTGGCTTTATCTCCAATGCATACAATCATGGTGTTGTCTGCACTATGAGCCATTTCACTCTTGATGGCTTTGCCAATGTTTGAATGGATGGCACCACAGAGCCCTCTGTCAGAGGACATGGCAACTAGGAGACGTTTCCCCTGTTCTACTGGAGGCTTCACCTCAGCTCTGTCATAGAAGGCCTAGAAATGAGAGAAAAGCATTTTCAGGCTAATATGCATAATTAGGTAGGCCATCAGGGTTTTATTAGCTTCACTTCATAGGTTTACAATATTCTCTGCACTTAAGAATAGGTTTGGCATGGTAAGTTTCCACACATTATTAAGGCTGTGTTTCGCTGCAACAATAAATGACAGACTGGGAGCATCTGACTGTTAGCACACTGCCAGTATGACTCCTATGTCACCATCAGGTTGTGAAGGAACACCACACAATCATGGCACTTTTCAGTCAAGTAATGAGAGAAACTGGGCACTCCTATTCTAATGGCATAGATAATCTAACAGATTCCTATTTCATCATAAATGGACATCCAAATTTGCAGCAAGCATTCTATTCACTGCTTTTTTCAGGACTGGAATATCACAGGGATGGGCAAGATTTTATCAGTGTAGCTTGAGTAGAAACCACTATATGGTCATGTAAAAAGTAGTAATGTCAGATAATTGCAGGAAATTTTTTTTCACATGCACCATGATACCTGTATTGAAACTTTCTGGCATGGAGAAATCATACTAGCAACTGGAAGTAACTGGTATGAGGCTTTTGATTCAGATCAGATTGGAATGGAAAAGTTGACCTTACTTCCCATATCATAACAGAATAAGATGAGCACCTAGCCTTGGATTTTTCAACACCAAGTTGTAACCAGTAAAATCCTCTGACACCTTTTTTTTTTTTGGCCAAGGGCTGACTTGACTTGCTTTGTGACCAGTTGTAGTTAATAATGATTTTTTCCACCCTGCATCAATACCTCTTCATTCTAAGAGAACTGAAAATACTCAAGTAAGCATGTCAGGAGAATATATGATGCATGAGCCAAACATTGCATGTTTTATCCTACAGATCAGGGGTGTCAAAACTCAAATTGGTTGGGGGGCCGCATTCCTTACCCCGCAGATGCCTGCAGGCCACACCCATAATTTTCCCCCAAAACTTGTGCTAATAGTAAATCCAAGTGGAAATTTCAAGAAGAGAAGGCAGGTCAGATGAACCACCTCCACAGGCCAGATCTGGCCCGTATGCTTGACACCCGTTATAGATATATAGGTGCATGGGATTAAAGGATAAAATAACACATTTTGTCAACATTTAGATACTAATACTACTAATACTTCAAAATAACTAAACATTGTAAAAATTAAAGAGTTCTTTAAAACAAAATGAGTCACACAAGTTTCAGTACATTCAGAGTGATGGGAAAATTCTGGTCATAGGGAAATTCTCAGATGAAAATGTAGAACTTATGAGCAATGCATCATTCACTAGGTATAGGTATGAATGCTTTTTAACTTTTAGCACCTTTGCCATTATGAAAGTGCAATGTAGGGAATGCAGGACTGCATAATTCCATTAAGGTTAAATTATACATACCAAGATGACAACAATGCTTGCAATGACTGAGGCTTAAAAAATGCAAGACAATTGAAGCTAAAGAAGAACCTCCCATTTCAAAGGTTGACACTCATCTGAATGCTTCATTTAACAGAAAAATAGTCAATGAATGCCCCTCGTGGTTCTTCACCCCATTCAGTTGCTGATACCAAGCTAGTGGACAAACATGTTCACAAATTCATGTCATACTTTCCTTTCCCATCTGACACAGTTGAATACTGTGACTGCCTCTTTAATTCCAGGTTAATAGGGAACATTTATGCATGCAGGACCATTCTTTTATAGCAAAACTTAAACAGCAAGAATCCTGAGCTAAAGAAATTAACTCTGCTTTAAAGTAGGCACACTGCATCCTTTTCCCTGAATGTATATGGCATATCTTTTCAACTTCATATAACTCAGTTAATAATTTAAAAAAACAGATGAGTCATTCAGTAAACAAACTGTACTAACTCTGTCTAATCACTGACCAAAGCCTACCTTAAGTCCTCAGAGCTATGAGGGTAGCATTTGCAGAACCAAACAAGAAGCCATACTTGTAGTCCTTACCAAGAAGCCTAAGCCTCTTGTTTCAAAATTGAAGGAATGATACTGTTTAAAAAATTTTTTTTTACAGTGGGGTTCTTCCATATGCACACACATTCTAAAGACTGAGATCCCAAGTCAAAACTGCTTCCCACCTGTTACCTAACAGATATATCATGGATGAATTGATAGAACATGAAAGTACTGGTAAGAACCCCTTATAACCCCCCTCCCCTTAAATATTCATGGCAGAGGATGCAAGAAGTGACCCCATCATAAGAGGGGTTTCTTGGTGTGTGGTCTTCAAGCTCCTTAACAGGTTGACCACCACAAGGCGCACCAGTGCACCTCACTGAATGGGAAAATCAATAGGCCAACATTTCCTTGGCAGTCAAAGTGTTAAGTGAGCAAAAGTAAATATTTGGTTTCCAGATTTATAGCTAAACCACACAGCTCTCATAGTCCAGGCAAACTTGGCTTTCTTGTGACCTTCAAAGGAACCTACTCTCTGCTGTAGGGTAGAGATACACTGTCCTAACATGAAATCACTCACCTTGACACCTTCTCCATAAGGTCGTGCCTGTTTGAGTTCTCTCTCAGCACGTGCATATTTGGCTGCTGACACCATTTTCATGGACTGAGTGATCTTCTGGATATTCTTCACTGACTTCAACCTCACACTGATATCCTTTAGGGTGGGCATTTTTCCGACTTGCCCCCTGTAATCAAAATCAGTGTGTTGTCAAGCTTAATTTTTTTATTTGAAGACACTGATGAACATATTATATGGTTACAGCCTTAGAGCTATAAGGAAAGAGGAGGAAGGGAAGCAAGAGCGAAGTTCAAGAAGAAAGGAGAGATGAAATGGTAGAAGCTGACAAGTTGCATGAAGAAAATTCTTAGAGTTAGTTAAGTCTGACTGAACCAGAGATCCCTGGCTTCACCAAAAATGTACCCTAACCCTCTGTACATGATAGAGTAGGCCGGAGTAAATGGGGATGCACTTTTCTCTTGATGAAAAACTACACACCTTCATTGTTTGAGTTATTTTTAGTTTTATGCAGAATGAATTCAAGAAGCTATTAGTGTTTTTCAGGTCAGTCAGTGTAGTAGTCAGTGTTTTTCACTTGAGTTAGACACACGTGCACGAGGCGTTCCCCATGCATGGGTGTCGAAGTCAAATGAAGAAGTGTCTAACTCAAGTGAAAAACACTGTATGACCTACACGCCCCTGAAGAGAAGTCCAGAGGCCTGATTAGGCTCTCCGATTGTGATCAGGCCATGTTTAGCAAAGATGAAATGAAAAATAAGTTCAATAAGGCACATCTTCAGAAAATGCCAGCCTGAGATAGCATCAGAGTGTTGCTATACAAATTACCCAGAAACAAGGGGCATCATCTATTGTAAAAGCAGGATTTACGTCTGTGAATAAACGCAAAGGCACAATTTCCATCGGAGGCCATTGGACCAAAGCTACCACACAGACAATTATAATGAAAATCGGTAATGGTGATGCGCGTATCCCTTGCGCTAGCACGTATCCCCTAAGGAGAGCACCTCCCCCAAGACTCCTTAAGTGAAAGCTTGTACCCCTAAAAGTATGCAGCTTCCCCCAGATTATGGGGCGTACTCCCTAACAAACAATAAGAAAACGCTGCCTGCCACTACGGCACTGTCTGTCCACAACGTAGCCATTGGAAATACGTGATTGGCTGAGCGCCATACCACATGTTTCCCTCGAAAGTATGGAGGACTTCGAGTCTGACAATCGGCCAGAGAACGGTAACTCCAAACCAATCAGATGCAAGTTCATGAATGACGTCACGAAACATTCAGTTGATGGGTGCACGTGGTTATCATGCTGTTATGGTGTGAAGAAATCTTCAGCCTGAGCGTACGCTTCCGGTGTTTTTCACTAGACCTTAAAAAAAGAACTTCACTAGACAACTGCATGGCCATAGGTATACCATGAAAGGTTGAAACTTCTCCAAAAGAGCTGTAGTAGGGTCTCGCATTGCCAAACGGTTCAGTTGATATGTTGGTATGTCAAAATGAAATGTGTTCTTCCAGGCTACGTTTGAAAATTTTCGGTGCTGTCCTCCACCTTAGTATATTAGCCTCTTCTGAAGTCAAGTCTGAAGTTGAAACATGAAAAATATTCCAAGCATTACAGTTTCCAGACCTAATTCTAGGTGTTAAAAAAAAGCATCCTAGCCTGACCTACTGTCAACATGCCTCCTTCAGAAGGGAATCCAAGAATCTCCTTTTCAATTACAAAGCAAAGTTTGCCCTCAATGTCCCTGCTGCTGGTAAACAATTCTTGTACAGCCTTGGAATCACTTTTTTTCAATGGTTGCTATTGCATCAGCCCCAGTTTCTTCTGATTGAGCCAGATCCATAGCTCAAGGTTCATTTGAGCTTGACTTCGACTGTGTTACATGCAGTGGTGTAGGCAGGAAATCAGCAAGGGCCAGGTAGGTTGAGCCTATTCAGCCAGAATCAGCCAGTTGAGGCCAGGTAGACACTCCAACCCTATGCCTAGCTCCACTACCCAGAATTTACCCTTTCAAAGAAATCAAAGTCTTGCATCTTGGGTTTGTGGATGGACATCAGACTTTCCTTGAAGGGGCATAGCTGAAATTGGAATTCTCAAGGAAGGTTGAAATTGCCTGTCCATGTAAGTGACCAGGAAGCTGAAAGGGGGGGGTTCTAACCCCCTAAACCCCCCCTTCCCTATACCACTGGTTCCATGTCAACCTTTAATGGCAAAAAAATCTAAGGTTGCATTGGAAATACACTATTTGTGGAAGTTAGAGGCTCCCCAATAACATGGACATAGGTCCTTGATTGATAAGTTCATTTATTCAGACAAACAAATTGTCCTAATGACATATGTAAAGCCATGGGCCAGGTTCAGTTGGGGGTTAGTAGAAAATATAATACTGAGTAAGGAGAAAGAATGAAGAAAACACCAGCATTTCAATGAGCAGACTATAATATTAACATCATGTACTCATCTATAAACTAGGCAAAGATACTTCTAATTAAAAAAAAGTAAACAAGCATATCTTCTATAACCTCTTGGCATTGTATTTTTTCAATGTTCAAATATTGTCATTTTTCAATTCTTCAATACTGAAACTTTTTAACCTCTGAACCAGTGTGGCTAGGCTGGTGGATACAGGGGGGTGCACAAACCTTGCTATACAATTCAAGCCAAACCCAATGTCTTTATCACAATTATAAAATTTAGAATAAATTTTTCATTGAAGTAAAGTGTCATAATGGCACACATAATGGCAAGAGGTTTAACACCATCAGCGAAGTGGGCTACATCATGTGTGGGGAAAGCAAGTGAAAGGCCTTTCCATAAAAATTATTTCTGAAGTTACTTAGGGCAAGAATAAATAATTTGCCATTTTGGCACCTAAGCAGCTCTTCATTGCTAATGACCAGAACATGATTTTTGGAAAGTTCTTAATGAGAGTCTTTAATGGTTATAAAGCCAGTTTTTTATGTTTCTTTTCATATTCATAATTATTTTTTGAGTCAAGCAAGGATTGATGGAACATAAATCAACTAGTATCCACAAAAGTGATGCAAACACAATTGGACCCTTAGTAAATGATATTGATAAATTATCCATTGAAGGTAAATATGCCCTACTACAGGTGGTACATCCTTTCTGTAAATTAGTCATAATGATAGAATAGATCCTTATGAGACATCAAGCTCTCATGTGCTTTCAACTAGTGCAATGACTACATCTGAAGTTATATTTTTTAAAATAACCTATGCTATGCAGCTTGGAAAGTAGAAAGATAATTGAATGCTTTGAGTAAAGGAAGATTTCATATGAATGCAACCCTTCATCTATAGCTTGCCTATTTCTCTCAACAATTACTAATAGGGAAGTTTGTATAGAGTCCTATCAAACTGAGACTGAAGACTTACATCAGAGATTTAGCTAGAATCAATGAACCTTCTATTTATAAGCTTGGAATGTATTGTCAAGTCCTGAGGTAATTTTAAAATACCAACTCATTTTGATAATGTACAAAGATTTGCAATCATGGAGGAATAGACTTTGTGACCATTGAAATTTACCTTGAAACATACTGAAAAAGAAATAATGAACTGATGTCCAGCTTCTTTGTTGACCTTACATAAAGATAATATTATTTGCAGCAACCAGAAATCTCACTATAACAGGCCCTTGAAGTTATTGGATGAAAAGTTTTGGGCACTCAATCTGCAAAGTTGATACCATACAGAAGAGAAATCCTAATTGATTCAGCCACTTTCTTCATCAAATCCACTACATCTTCACTCTGAAAGAAAAGGACATCTTAAAATCCCTACTTGTTGAGCTTTAATTTGCCTTTTACATTTCTCTTGACTAAATTTAAGATCATTTGCACTCTCTATCCAAGTCTCATTCTCCAATGTCAAATATTAAAAAATGGATTTAGGATATAAAATTCTCCGCCATTGAATTTAAGGACACTAAACAATCAATTCACTGCAACTAGTTGCTTAATTAATCTTTGTCCTTCAGGGTTCTCTCTTTTTTTTATTGAGGGCGTCTTAGAGGATGACAATCATGTCACAAAGTTGCTAAATATTGAGTGCAATGATTAGTCCAGAATCTTAGGATTCTGGACTAAAGAGGTTGAGAGAAGGACTTTCAAGATGCCCTCAATTGTGGAAAGAGTTGGGTGAGTCAACATATAGCTGAGAGGAGGCAAAAGTCCCATAGTAGTGATCACGCACTCATTTCACTAAAGGTTTTTTCAGTGTATCAATTCTTCAAAGATCTTCGAATTTCATCGAAAAAAAAGTTTTCATTGCAATGTTTATGTGGCGAAATAAACTGCACGAATGGCTAAGGAGACCAGACGTCCCGATTTAGACAGGACAGTCCCACTTTCAAACCACCTGTCCCGGTGAAGTAAGCAGGACGCCAAAATGTCCCGCTTTTGGGAATGTTGAGAGAAAATTCATTCGGACTAACTTCCAAACTCTGACTGCCACCGCCCGCTTGTGGTTAATCTGTACTTGGCTAGAGGTCAGCATTTTTCTCCCTGCTCTCTGTTGCATCGTCTACGACAGTGAAGCACAACCTTTTGCCCATAAAGGGCCAAATTGAAGTCTCTGTTCATGTTCGAGGGCCACGGATACTCAAATATGAGCCAAAATAGGCCACATATACGGAGTAAATATGGGCGAGATCGGAGGCATCCAAGGAGCCGCAGAAAAGGTCTCCGCGGGCCGCGGATCACTGGTCTACGATGACCGTCATGATATTTGTTTTCTGCATGGCATGCGGAAACACATTTGACTTGACTGTCAAATTTCTTCCCTTGCGATTATCAGAACTTCTAAACAAAATCGCATCAAGATAAACCTAGCGAATATGATTATGTATAACATACCTTGTATTTTTTATCCGTGGCAACTGCGTAGATATAAATTGGCAATGCGAATTCGGATCATGAACAGCTAAGGAGCCTAAAAACATGCTAGCTCTTGCTAGCAGGCATTTGCTCATGTGCAATCCAAACGATAAGGCCGACCTACTGCTATCGTATACTTCTATATTGCGTGAGCTATGTGGTTTACCCTTATAGTTGTCTATGAGCCTGGGAAAGCCTCCAGGCTTTGGCCTCCTATCCGTGATTCTGGACAGGAGTCAACTTACAGAGACCGGACTTTGCTCGTTTTGCGTCAATTAAGAACGAATCCAATGGTTCTCAGCGATTTCTTTCAGACATTTAATATCTTAAGGTATATTTTCAAATTGTATGGGAAAGTGCTTCCCGAAAATTTTTGAGGAAGCTGGGCCTCCCTCTTACCGCCCTCTTGCGGGAAATGTAATCATCGGAAAATACACAGCTTCTTCTTAGCTTGAACTCTTGGAAAGAACAAAGCTGGAAGTACAGTGGCGCAACCAAGGAGGGAGGGTCAGGGAGTTGGGGGAGGTTCAGACCCCTTCCCAACCCCTGCACATGATAGCATCTCTCTATTCCTCCTTCTCCCTCTCCCCAAGGGTGGGGGACGCAAAAAGATTTGAACGAACGACCCGAGAGTGAGACTAGAAAGGACCAGATGGGAGTGTAAAGGTGAAGGTCACGCCTGTCACATGTGGCTACTCGCTGCAGTAAAGTGCGTGAAAATGTCAAGGAAGCATCCTGTGCTTGTGACGCCGCTGAATTTTTTTTCTGAAAACGGAAGGACGACGACTTGGATGAAAGTCATGGATCGCGTACAGGTTAACGAATTTCCAGTTGGATGTCTACGCAGAGAAATAGTTGATCTTTAGCTTTGTTTCAGATTTCGAATGTGCTGACATTACATATTTACAATCACATGGCATTTACTGTTTAAATTCAGTTTTCGCCGTTTCATAAAAATTTTATTCGTTCCAATTTCTATGTTTTGCGTGTTCTATGTCGCGTTTTTCGCGTTTTTATTGTGATTTTAATGACAGAGGTCGGGAACCTTTTGGACCACGTGAGCTATATTAAGATTGAACTTACTTGTACTTGGGAGCAAATGATTTTTAGAACAATAGAAACTTTCTTGAAGTTGGCAACAGACTTATTTGATACTTGAGAAAAATTAGCAGCAACCATGATTTTCAGCCATGACTCAATGAGCCAAACTTTTCGGCTCGTGAGCCAAATTTGACTCATGAGCCATGGGTTCCCGACTCCTGTTTTGTGATGATTTGATTACGCCTTCTTGCATTCGGAGACATTTTAAAGACAGGTCGTAAGAACGTTCTTGAACCCCTTCCCAAACTTTAGGACTGGTTGCGCTACTATGGAAGCACAATTAATTAAATAACGGTTCTAATTCACGTTTCCACAATAATAAATGTAATTGTCAGTCAACAAATACATTCATATTCTTTTTTTAAGAAGCAAGGGGAAGTGCTTGTTGGACGTCCCTCTCGCGACACAGAAATCTTGTCACCTTATGAATGGCAGACACATTAGAATAAATTATGCTTCATCTTCCAGGGTCATGTGATAATATACAACTTGGTCATAGGTCTATTAGAAGTTTTGGGGGATGAAGCTTGGAGGCCTCCATGCATGTTAAAAATATGAAAGGGACTTTGTGCTTTAATATTTTTTGACCGACTGCTGTAAAGATTCTTTGCCTATACCAGTGAACCTAGACCTAGCATCTAAAAGAGAGAATCAGCTAACCACGTGGTGCAATACAACAGCTACCAAAACACAAGTGACGCCATGCATGGGAAACTTTTGAGTGGTCGAAAGTCGCCGTTCTTTAACTGCTTTTGTGCAAAGCAAAGGAGTGCAAACGTCCGTGCTTCCCACGCAAACGTGAATATCTCTTGGATATCTCTTGGCCAATCACATCGCCCGCTTAATCTGCTATGGCTACTCCGTGCGCGTACGGTGTCGTGCTACCTGCAGACACAGCCTGAAGGGCACTTCAATTTTGAGTTTGTGTTATATGTTTGAGTTTCACATAATTCCACCAGTTAAGTTGGTCTCTGTAGGTTCGCTGCCATGGTGTCTGGTGAGGACCGGGCGAACAATGCATCCAATACCGACGAAGAGGATCAGTTCATGTGTCAGCCCAAGCCCAACGTCACATCGGACTCATCGCCAGATGCTGGCCATCTGCCAAATCCTTTAACCTTGGCTGAAAACTTGGGTCTAGATACCTCCACCTCCCCAACCAGATTAAAATTTACGGCAGTGGACATTTTCGGAATAGTATTTTCATTCCTTACATACGTTGTGGACGTTTCGACCGATGTCATTCTTGCCGCTTTGTACGTGAAATATGAAAGATATGAATATTTCCTGGTCACTCTTCTCTTCATTGCATTCTCTTCCATTGTCACAACAGCCGTCAGTCTCAGATGGTGAGTTGAGAATTAGAATAGGCGCAGTTGTGCTGTGGCTTTCAAGATGAGAGTGTAGGCTGAGGCCTACTGCCGTCATGTGCCTTTTATTTATCTTTTATCAAGGTACATCCATGATGCAGAAAGTGCATATCTTCCTGAAGTCACTTTGAAGCGATGGACTTTCAGAATTATTTGCCTGCTGCTTCAGTTTGGTCCCCTTCTCAGGTGGGTGATAGTCATACTTAGTCATGTTGTCAGGCTTGGGCTATGTAGAGCCCAGTGGTGGCTAAATTCAGGGCTGCATAGCTACCATTCTCTTCATGCCCCTACTGCATGCCTCCCAGCTAAGGTAAATGATCACTTTCATGAGTTTTTAAACTTTCTTTTGGTTTAGAGAGGAAAGTTACTCATTGCTTATGGTGATATGCTATCATGATTCATGTGAAGTACTAAGTGAAGTCATTATCAACTTTTTTCAGTCCATTTTTTGTAACAATGCAACTCATGGCACATCCGCCTTGACTAAGGACTACACAGGGTTATGGATGGAATATTACATTTTAAAAGTGGACTGCAAAATATGGGGAGTCAGCAGGTTTAGTTTCAGGTTTATGATAGCACAAAGGAACACTTGAAAATGTCAGTCTGAGTCTCACCACCCAAGAACATGAGGAGTCGGCAAAGTTAGTTTTGTGTTTTTGACAACACCAAGGAGCTGTTGGGAATGTTAGCCTGAGCCCTGTCATCTGAGAAGTATATGGGAAGTGAGTGATGTAGTGTGAGACTGGGATCACTGCTAGTTCCTTTGATTAGTGTGGCTGCCACCAGAGCAGGAAGGCAGAATAGAGATTACAGTACAATTTTGTTAGAACTTTATTTATTTAGGGATTTTATTGAGTTCCGCAATTAAGTTTATTAGTGAATATATGTGGGTTGTGGGTATGGGTGGGGAGGGTTGCTTTTGCATTTTGTCTTATTCTCTCCTTATTAGATATTGTTAGTGATGATTTACTTTAACCCACCCCTGCTTGGAGACTGGGAGCAAAGCTTGGACATTACCCCCTTAAACCAGGGTGACAGCTGTTTGGTGTTCAAATTACAGTTATTATACTGTATTCTCTGCTTTTATGCATCCCTGCTTTTAGTTTGCCTGCAAAACTCTGAGTGGAACAATGAAAGGCATATTTGTACTCTGCATATTTAGAGACTTACCACAAACAGGCATATGTGGCAGGAAAAGCCTCATGGTTAAGGGGTTAATGTCCTGTCCGCACACTAATTTTTGAAGTTGTTTTTCAATTACTTCAACTGAGTTTTAAGCAGTTAGGAAGCTCAGTATATGGCTGTTAAATGGAAATGGCCTCCCTTTTGCAAGATGCCTAAAAAGCAATGCATGGGAGATTTTGCCAAAGATTCAGGAAGGGCATCTGGTGATGCGTATTTAAGCAGCAGCTTATAAATACAGTATCCAATTTTTGAAAAGACCCTAGTACATTCAAGACCTTGAGTATGTCCTAAAAATATGGGCAATAGAAAGGGCTTTTCAAAGGATTCATTAGAAATACAGCTCTCTGGTGCACATACTCCCTTATCAATTGCGTGGTGCCATATGACAGAAAGAATTGGCACTCTTACACTGTTTTTAGATTGAATTTGTGTCACCCCCACCCCCACCCCTTTAGGGACACTTCCAATTGCAGGTAGTGACACCTTCCACAAGAATGGTTTCTTGCATCATTTCTTGAAGAAAATCCTCTTGAAGTATTGTTTTCTCCCTTCTCCACTACCTTGGGGGTTCAAATTCAATCTAATAGCAATGTAATGATATCTCACTTCAGCCCAAATGCTTAGTTGAAGTTCCCTGGAACAAGTGCAGATCACATCTTTGGCCATCCATTTACAGGCGTTTCATGCCCTACAGAAAGACTAGAAATTGAAGTAGAGAGAAGAGGTTTGCATGGTGCATTTTGAGCATGAAAAAAATATTTAAAAAAAACTCTATAACACATTTTTATTGTACATGGTTTCACTTTTTCAAGAAAGGCAGGAAAAAATTATCAGCAACTTTTAATTGAAATATCCCCACTCACACTGGAGCTATTTCTGTGAAACTTTCACTATGCATACATGAGCACTTTTCCAACTCATTCTCAATTTTTCATCAATTTTTTAAGCTGAAACAATACCATCAGCAATTATTGAAATGAAGTCTCTCAGTTAGAAGATTCTTAATGTCTAACTTATTTCTAATAATTGCTGATGGTATTGCTTTGACTCAACAAATTCTGATGACATTTTGAGAATAAATTGGAAACATACATATACATGCAATTATGAGCTGAGATATTTTAGTTATAAGCCTTTGGTCTTTTTTGCCATACCCTGTATAATATGTACAGCATATTTCCAGCTAAGTAAATGAAGCATTTTCCACTATGATTATGTAATCATTGTATACATGTGTGTCTTGAAAGATGACTTTGATGCAAGAAAAATTTGCAAGACAAGAAAGACATTGTAAAGAGAAAGAAATAGTGCTGAAGTGAAAACAACAAAGTTAGAGAAAGAGCACTAAGGTGGTTAACTGAGTTTTCCAGCTGAGCATAATTTAATGATAGCAGGTCCACATCTGTGTTTTGGAGCAAGATGTGGTACATTTTATTGATTTTTTTTAATGGCACATCAGGAGCATGATTTAAATCTCTTTTGCTCCAGGTATGCTGATGCATTGTGGTTCGGCATGAAGTTCTGTCGTACATTGAAGTCTCCTGGTGTTGACAAGCAGAAGATAAAAGCTGCTTTCTATTTGATGGTGTTTGAGGATGCTGATTCAACCCTCTTGAGAATTTTCCAATGCTTTATGCAATCAGCACCACAGCTGGTGTTCCAATTTTTCATCCTCAGCAGTGATGTCTACCACAACCAAGTCAATCCCAAGATATGTAAGGTTCTTGTTTTGTCTTTTTGAAAATGATACAAATGGAATGGGAGAAATACAAAGTGACTCTTTGTTCAGGCAGTTTGTGTAACTGTATAGGCCAGAATAAGAATACCCTCTGTTTTAATGTAGTCTATCTACATGAGGCACTGGAAAAATTGCTGTTGTGTCCTTAGACTTCATATTTGAAAGTTTATTTGATAGTGGTTGCTGTGGGCTTCACCAATCATGAGCAGTCACTTGGTATAAGAATCCTTAATTATGAGAAATTACTTTGCTTCATGTGTGATGAGTTACATTTTGTAATAAGTAGCTGATTAATGATAATTCCCATCTAGCAAAAAATATCATGGAAGTTACTATAAGGAGTTACTTTTCCTCAGTAACAAGCAAAGTTTACTCTGTCACCTTGAATGAATGCATTTTGCAGGCAACCATTGCTGGAACTTTTAGACACATTCTCATAGCGTTTTTGCTTTGCTGCTGAACTGAAAGTGATCAAGAAGAATAATTGAAATTGCAACTAGAAGTTTAATCAGTTACTTTGGGAAGTCACTTGTCACTGTTGGTCGCTTATAGATACATACATTTTGAGTACATTATGGTCATCCTCTTGTTTATTGTGTGCTCTTGAATTGCTCCCAAAGATGGCTAACCAGGTGAGAGATTTGTTTTCAAATGTCCCCTCACATTCCATGTGTTAATTAGTGACTCCTTGTTTTAATTTTTAATACTCAGTATTTTTTTTTGGATTTTGAAGTGTGTTTATGCTTGTGTTTGTCTGCCTGTCTATGTTTGTCTCAAAAAGTGAGTGAGCAGTGTTCAGAATGCAATTTTTTATGGGAAGGTGGGAGTGGCCGAAAGAAGCTTCCTCTTTCATGATGCCCCTTTTCTACAGGGAAAGGTGCTGAGTGAAGGAAGGCCCTACCCTACAGCAGTCATGCTGTCATGAGCCTTTTGTCAATATCATGCTTATCCTGTTTGCATTGATCCTATGCAACTGTTTTTTACTAACCACTCATTAACTTTTGCAGGAATGTTACTGCTCCATATTTCACAATTTAAAAAATATGGGAAACTTGACATTTTTATTTTTGTTAAGTGTCATACTATTGAAGCATTTATGATAGCAAAAATGTGAAAATCAGAATTTCTTGTAGAGTGGCATGAAATGGGAGTCAAAATCACCCCTTTTGTTTGAACTGCCATCCAACCCCATGCTTGCTGTCTCCACTCATTCTCTTGTTTTCTCTTCATTCTTCCTTCATTCATATTCTTCCTTCCTCCCATCATACAGGGTGTCCATTAGGTGTCTCTATGAGCAACTCTTTTACTATCAACTAAGTAACAAATTGATTTCTGCATTTAGTCTGACTATCTGTAGTCCTAGGAATGATATTTCCTTCTTCCACTTTGGCATGACTGAGAAATTATTTTCCTGACTGTTTGAAAACCTTGATAATTGGACTTTTACACTCTTCAAGAGTTGCATCCAGGTTTGTGATTTCTCAAGATACATGATAAGGCCTTTTTTTTCTTCCAAGGAAATGTGAATCAAGGAAATTATTAAGTGTTAGATGATCCATGATTTCCATATTTGCAACAATATAGAACATGCCTGTTGCATTTGAATTTTGTACAGACGCCACGGGGAATGTGCTGAAGCACCATCTGAGTTAATATGAACCCAATGAGGGTCTGAAAAATTCTCAGCCACACCAACGTGGTGGAAAGATTTGACATCATTCTGACATTTATAGATAATCTATATGTGCAAAATTAATACTTCTGATTCAATAGTACAAAAGTTGAGCATAGTCATTTCCTGAACACCCTGTGTTTTTGCTTATACTATATATGGCATTGTACTGAAATATGGCTTGCTACTGGATTGGGTTTTGTTTACCTAACTATATTCAGATGAATTCTTGAGTGATCATCCATTCTATCCAGCTACTGTGAAGTTGAAGTGTAATTTGGGAAATTTGGATTTGATATAACTTGCACCTCCCATTGTGTTTTTATAGTGGAATTTCAAGTGGCCTCAATAATAAGTTCTCTGGTCAGCTTTGCATGGGCTATGGCATCTCATCATCGCTCTCTTCGCCTGACACTCATTGAGAAGTCCAACATGACACTTGGGGGAACTGGTGTTCAATTCCTATGGCACACTTTCAGCATGAGTGAGTTCTTTGTATTCTCCTTTTTTCCTACTTTTTTGCCAGGTCAACTTCATAGTGTTTTCAAGTATATCCGAGAAAAGTTGAGTAAGTAAAGCATGGAATTTTTCTATTCTTTCCAGTATCACGTGTTCTGGCTCTGAGTCTGTTTGCATCCCTCTATACAAAATGGATCTTCCTTGTTCTTGCTCTACATTGGTTCATCATGGTTGTTTGGATTGGAATCACAAAAGCTGCAGCCTGCAACAGCAAGTGTGAAGAGACTTTCTTTAACATCATTCTAGCATACATCTACACTTTCACATTCTTGAACATCAAGAATGAGCCAACTCGTTACAAGTACCTCCTTTATTACTCCTTCTGCTTCTTTGAAAACACAGTTCTTATCACACTGTGGTTTTCATACATCATGGATTCTGGCATGTGGTTTACATATCCTGCATTCGCAGGGCAATTCTGTTCATTTCTTACTGGCATGCTATTCATGATGATTTACTATGTTTATTTACATCCTACAGAGAGCATCAGAACAAGCTTTCCCATTAGGTGGCATTGGTTATGGGAGAACTTAGCTCCATCTCAGCCATCAAATGGCGTTGCTAGTAGAGGAAAGCGCATCCATATCCATGTTCATCCTGCTGAAATTGTAACTTAAGCTCATTTCCTCTGTCTTTTGCTCATTCAGCATGTCATATGGATGACTGCTTGGCATCTGTCAAATTAGGACTACATGTCTTCCTGAGTCTGGACTGTCCAGATGCACCTGATGTCATACTGTGATTGTTGTGTGATATGTGGCATTTTTAACCACTCCCAGTTGTACCTTAATGCTCTCTGCATTCCTTTTCATGTATTCTGCATACCTTCTTTTTAACATATTTTCTTACTGAGGCAGGCATCTTTGATGTGTTGCACTTGATTTTGTCATAGGTCCAGTTTTCATCGCCCTTTGGAATATTTGAGAGTTACTCATTTAATCCAGCTTTATGATCTCCTTGATCAAAAATTGGCATAACTTATATAATGGAAATATTTTTTTCCCTGTAGTCTAGCACTTGCAATCCCCTGATTCTTTTCCTGGCAAAAGTAACCATTTGGCTATTGCTGGTGTGATGTATAACCCCAATAAATTTTAATAATTTTGTCTTTTTTTTATATAAGCATGCAAGGATCACTAGAATGTTTTGGGTTTGCTTTTAAGCCTGTGCCAGTCATTCTGGATAGCTTTCTACAGGAATATGGTGATCCTTGAACCAACCCATGGTTGTTTAAAAGTAAAAAGAAAAAAGAAATCTCAAACTTTTCCCTGGGATGATATATCATCAGAAGTTGCAAGGAAAATCATTTGATAGACCATTGGGCTGTTCTATTGCAGCAATCTGTTCTTGAAACATGTTTAGGTTCCTTTGAATCAGTGATGGGGTTTTCATATTAGTGGCATCTCAGAGTTGGAGGGGATGTATAAAATTTCCATTTCATGGCCAACCTGTATGGCTGTGGTTTTATGCACAAGATGAGTATAAAAGTTAATCTCATTGATAGGGAGTGCATTAAACTAAAGACAGTTTTTTAATTCCACCTCATGGGTGGATGAGAGGAGTGTTTTGGACAAAACTGGTCATGCAGACATTATAGATGTGGATTGTCATTCCTCAGGTTGGAAAACTTGCAAATTTTCTTCTGGAAATGTTCAGAAATGTGTACTCACCCTTAGTTTGATCACTAATAATATATCTTTCAGCTTTAAACTATCCTCTGTGCACCACGTTTTCATGCATATTTTCTGGCACCATTTGGAGTCCAAACTGCAAGACAGTAACATCTTCAGATACTCCTGTAAAGGATGCAAAATAAAAAGCACAATTTGATTCCAAAGAGAAGACCATATATTTGAGCAGAAGGGTTCATTGCTCATTGGGGTATGGACTATCTCATGAGCTTGTCAATCATGTTAAAGAATGAGAAAGTTTCTGATTATGATAGTTTTTTTTTTTTGCAGGGAAGAGCATGGGAATGAGTCTGCTTTGCCTTTTACTAAGGCTGTTACTAAGACTGAAATATGGTTTTCCATTGCTGAAACTAACTCCCCCAATGTAGTTTCAGCTGTGACTTCATTATTACTATTTAACATGTTAATTGGCCAAGTTAGAATCCAGTATCCTGTCAAGATAAAACATTATTAGGTGAAAATGAAGAGGTGTTCAATTCATATACTCAAGTTTGATCTTGTAGATAATAATGGCCAGGTAAAAACTATATTGTCTTGCCCTCCTGGACAAGGAATGCCAAGAAACCAGTAATTCTTCGCACATATGTAATTAATGTGATATACTAACAATCCTTCTAATGAAGTGGCTTCATAAGAGTGAGCTGTACAATATTCTTAGCCAGGTCAAACAAGGAAGGACCTTTCAAGGTCAAGCAGAGGGCTACATCACTTCCATCTTCATTTTCAAAAAGTATTTCTATTTTTATTGTCATTTAGATAGCTGCATGCTCTTTAGCTTTTTGAAAATGTAATTGACCAACTTGCTAATATGATTAAATGGAAATAGTTTCTAATTCAAATTACAATAGATGATTCATGAAAAAAATTAAATGAATTTCTGACCTATTTGTGCATCAAGGCAAGGAGGTGGTGAGAGAGATGTAAGGCAAGAGTAGGAAATCAAAAGAGAGAAGTAAAATCAAAGTGGAAAGAAAAAGAATGTTGTTTATGGACTTCCTGTTCATCAGCACATTAAGCTTGCCAAAATCATATATTGGTTTTGTTTTTGGTTGTCCTGAGATCTCCTGATGGAATTCCTACATTCTTTTATCATTCCTTTTAGAGAGGAGTTATTATTTGAGTACAAAAGAGGTTTATGTAAAAAGCTACTAGGAAACCAAATAACTTGACCAAGATGTTATTGTGACAACCATTTTGGATTCCCATTGCCATGAGGACCCAAGTGGGTTGTCCCTAAAAATATTTAGCTGAGGCATTTGATTTGCATCTTTCTCTTTTTTTTTATATGCTGTGTTTTATGTAAATATTTTTGCATTCATGTTTGTCTGCCTGGCCTTTAAATGTTGGAGTTGTTTCTCCCAGTATTTGGTTTTCTATTTTCCAGCTGAAACTGTCTGCTGCAAGCCTGCTCAGTATTCTCCAAAATTTGTGAAAATATTTTGATACATCTGCCTTTTATTGAAGTCTTTTTGCAATATGATGCCAAAGTGAATTATTTGAATCTGTATTTGATTTCTGGGTTGTTAAATATTTGCTGATATTGTTTTTAGGTATTTAAATGCTAATGAAATATATTTTGCATATTCACACTTTTTGAAAGTAAAGTTATAGCATTATGTTTCAGAATGCAAGTGCAACTAAGTATAATTTTTCTTTCGCTAAAAACCAGAGAGAATAGTAGTCTACAACACGCAATCGAATACTCTTTAAGCTGTATAAAATCAACTCCCCCAAAAATTGATAGGCCTTTTGACATCGAAATGTATTGCAATACTATTTTAACAAATACTGGATATTGAGCTGCCAAAGGAATTAGATTTTAAATAGTTCTGAGCATGCTACTGATGGGTTTGATAACTAGGAATCACAGGATTCTTTCCTCTCCCATTCGCAGTATGTATGTTAGGGTTTCTTTTTGCAGTTGGGAACAGGCTGAAAGCGGTGTCTTGATGTTCCTTTCTCATGCGCTCTACATGATTGATTCTTGTAGCAGCTGTATCTTTTTTTTAAATTTGAGATCTATTGTATTTTTTATGTCAAATTTTATTGTTTTGTATTTATTCTTCCTGATTGGAATACTCGAAGCTTCAATAAAGAATAAAATATACTTTGAAACATGGTTTTTCCTTACATAATGACAAGTGTAAATGATTGGTGAGAGGTTGGGAAAATGACTGGGAAGTCAATGAAGTATAGGTGGACCGGTTTTCAAGTTCAAGATCCCAATCTGAATTCGTGGGTGGAGATGGACAGCCGAAGGAATAAAATGCGTGGGTGGAGATGGACAGCCGAAGAAGGAGTAAAATGCGTGGGGGCGAGTTTTGAATTTACGAGAAAAGAGGAAAAGGAAAACTTGTTCCTCTTCCACCTACGTAATCGACCTGGTTGGCTGATAACGTTTGTAAATATATATTAAAAAAAAAAAAACATCATTGTCTTTCGTACCCTGGAAAGAACTATAAGGCTTCAGGGCGATGCGAGAAGAGCGTTTAGGACCCAATCCGAATCCTGTTCCTCTTTCCCCAGTTGGAAGGCTAAGGAACAGATGAAATGTCTAGGGCTGCCAATCGGATGAGGACAATCGACCGATTCCTCCATTAACCCTTCCAGATGTGAATTAATGCCACTTTTGGAATAATATACTTTTGTTTGCATTTTTGAGCTCTTTTGCTGTTGTACTTTAAATTTCTATGTCCTATATATCGTTTTTATATTTTATGTACATTTACCATATCACACCATATATTATATAATAATTAAATAACTGAAGATTACTAAACTGACGGGTGAAAGAAGGCCTCCGATGGAATTGAGCCATGCATAATTGCACCCATTGTAGTGTAATTTTGAGTGCAAAGTCAAGAGAATTCCAAGAAATTACCATAGACGCAATGAAAATGCAATGTCCATTGGAATGGACGCTAGGTCTGAAAGGGTTAAAGTTTTAACGCAATCAAAAAGTTAAATGAAAATTGACCTTAAAAATCTTTGATCTTGTTACTCTATCCCATATTCACTCTATTGTACATAGGCAAAAGTGAGCATTATGCGATGGGAATCCCATGAAAGGATGGCCTCTAGATGGCGGTCGTTTTTGCACAGATCATAAGAAGGAAAGCGCTCTCATCTAGGAAAGGGGACTTCAGAGAAACGCTACGCTGAAAATATTGCTAAACGTGAGGGTTTCAGGGTAGAGAGAAGTGAAAGAAAGCTTTTAAACCATTTAAAATCGATTCGGAGCAGTCTTGCACACTGTCTTGCACGGCAGCAACAAGTGTGCGAAATCGGGTTAGACCTGAATGGAATGGTCTTTGGCACTCGGCATGATGGAGAAAAGTGTATGGAAAAAGATTGTCGTTTGGTTTCTTTTGTCATCTAAACAGCACGTAGCGCGGAAATGCTGAAGGATGGATCGGGTTGTATCCTTCCCTCCGGCTCTGGACTAATCGTTCTCCTGGATCTGAGGACTCTTTCCTGTTCTGCCTTTCTCTGATGTCTTCTCCTCCATAAGCATGAACTCGAGATGTATGATGGTGTTCATAAAAACTTGAATCGGATTAATCTCTTTGAATCGTGATTGGGCTCGCTTGGACGAGGAACAGGACATCGTCTAAAAGGAGCAATGCTTTTTGTCTGCTCTCACCCAGTCTAAACGCGGTCGAAAACGTTTAGACGAAGGGAGAGAACGCCCAGTAAGATCGGCTGGGATATATGACCCTGAACTCGATGACGCAGTGACCGGACGGATGACGGACTGACTTGACTGAAGCCGCGCGGATCTTGTCTGCATCTTTTGTTCTGATTCGCTGCGGTTTGACGTGTCTTTTCGGTTTCACTCAATTCTACTGGGTCATGGTGAAACTATAGTTGCAGCTCGGTTTAAAGTTACAGAAAACAGCGAATTTTCAATGCAGAGGAGGGATGGGAAAATAAGACGAGACTCTGGGACATTATCCCCATGCATTTCATGCACCTTTTCCTACGTGCTTTTTTTTTCCTAAAAGTGATGAGTCACTTGCCCCCTCTGACCCTCCGACGCTAAGCCACAGGTAACGTGGTCGTGGGTAACGTAGAAGTGGTCTTGGTCATCGGTTGCTTGCATTTCTAAGCTTATACCCGTCATTCTAGGCAGCTCAGGAGCTTTGACAAAACCGCATCAAAAATTCAACTTCACAAAAAACAGTTTCTCAGTATACCCTGCAAGATACTTCTGCATCCTAAAGATGCATTTGATTTTATTTAATGGATAAACCTTTCATGTGGTCGACGAATAACTTACTACAAAGATGAGTGAAGCGAAGTAGAAAAGTATGCGGAAATGTCTGAATTGAAATAATATAATCCAATTCCCCGTAGCCCCGGATACTCAAATGAACAAGCCTAAAGTTAAACTAGACTGCTACGAATGGAAGTGAAAATGTACAGTAGGCCTACACATGTTATTTAAGATAGCAACGCCATTGCAAGCCTCGAAAAGGCTGCGGGATTCCCCCTTCAATTGGTTTATCGCGAAAGGGCAAACCCCTCCTAAACGTCCCGTGATGAACTCCTGGTCCGGTATCGGTTGCCAAGAGACCTCAGAAGGAGAGAGAGAGCTACGTGAGGGGAATAGATTCTGACGTGCGCCTGCCAATATCGTTCCGAGTGCCCTTCCAGCATCATCCAAGGTCCTCAAAGGGGCTGCCGATTTCAGCCTCTTTTTTTTTCAGAACCGGCTCACCCTTAATGTGCGATCCGTCAATTCTGCTGCCCGTTTCGTCCCCGACGATTCGGGGCCGACAGATCGTCGGAAACCAGATTCGTCGCGGGCAGCACTCCTAGATCTGCCAACAGTCATGGAGAAACCGATGGAAAGCGGAGCTTGCGACTTTCAAACCAGGAGCTGTATTTGAAAGAACGGAGAAATTTCTCTGCAATGCATTTGAAAACATGTAACCGAAGTATGCAAGTGTTGTGTTATTCCCGGCAGTGACTAGTTTGTACTTTGTCGGAGAGAAAGGCTAGAGTACGTTTCTTCTCAATGAATTCTCGTCTGGATTTTGTAAGTAGATTCTCCATTTATTGAAATATGCATCCTGACTTCACTTTGATCCCAGGTTACCTTACACCTAAGTTATCTTATCGGTTGATGAGTTTGCAAGTGTCCTCGACCCAAGTACTGCTGCATATTCCTTATCTCAGAATCCTCGTCTTCCAAAAGCGTTACACGAATCCTTTTCATGTGAAAAGCAGATCCATCGAGTAAAAAAAAAAACAGGTACGATTCCGAAGCCAATGCTTCCATTCGTATACTGTACTTCCCGGCGATAGGAAGCCTAATCAAAGAGCTAATTTGATATAATTATCATATTTTACCGTTCAAGCATTCAAGTTAATAATTCGTTATAGATTTCTTAATAATGACTTTAATTAAATCGAAAACCGTCACGAACGCTCTCCTAGGTCCTACGAACGCACGAGGAGGATCAGAAGGCTGAGGCCACTTCTGCGAAAGGTGAGGAAGATCACTCGAGGCAGAGGCGCCCCTTTCCAACAACAAAAAAAAAATAATAATAATAATAGCATCTAGGGGTGTAACCAATCTTGATCTCGGAGAATTCAGGAGGAGCAAAGCAATCAGACACCAGCCAACAACCATCTAGTAATACGGTCTGCATTTTCATGGCTTGACTATCGAGAAGGAAAGATGATGTTTAAATATGAATAAAAGGATTTAAATAAAAAAAAGGCTGATTCATACTGACTGCGACCGCATGTGAAGCATCTCTCGCACTGGTCGCAGAACCTCCAAGCGAAATCTAACATAACTGTGTACAACTTGAGAGTTCGGGCTGCAATACTTTTGCTTTTTTGCAGCCACAGGGGGGAAATAGCTCTCGACGGTGATGGGTACGTCCTGTACACAGGTCCCGCCATCAGAACAGACACAGGTCCACCATGAACGTGAATTCCAGATTCGAATTCTCATCAGGAAATCTGAGTAGAGTGGGAAAGCGCTTTCGTTTTCAGGATACCAAGATTCTGGTACCCAGGGAAGTATTTTTTAAATATATCATCTGCATGACTCTCTAATGCTATAACAGTGTGTGCTTTGGGTGCACGTGGATGAATAAATAAAAAACATTTTATGCACGTTTGCTTTTGAAATTCTCTTGGAATGACTCAGCCAGAACCGTAAGTGATGAGTCCTGTGCCTCTGGCTTCTGGGATCCCCAAAAATCGATAGTACGACGGTCACTCTCGAGGTTTCCGGATGCGGGCGACAGAAAAGGACTTGGCCTTGTTCAATCGTGGCACCTTTTCGAAGTTGTCTCCCTGAGCGTCGATGCTATTTCTCATCCTTTTCAACCATTTCTCTAAGTTTTTCCACTCGTATGTTGGAATACCCGAGATCACTGAATGAATTCAGGACCTGCCCCTTCCGGAGACTGAAAACGACGTCCACAGATGAACCACGAATGAGTTATGTTTACATCCAACTTCAATGTACAACTGCAACCGTCGGACTCCAGCAGGGAACAGGTGGCGAAATCATTCTCGGCCCAAAGGACCGCTGGTAATCAACTAATCAGCCTGGATAATTTTATATTTTCTCCCTATTTCCCAGCTGGAACGCGTCAAAATTAGCAGTTGCAATCTATATGTAGCAGTCACAGCTGTTTCCTGCTGGAACCCTGAACGCAGTCTGCCCTAGCCTGTAAATAAAATGTCCGCGGAACTCGGGACTCCCGCCAATGGTGGAGCTCGGCCAGTGAGGCGCGCATCCATCACCAGTTAGGGCCGTGATCCCATCCATCACCAGTTAGTGCTGCGATCGCAAGGGCAGCTGATTTATAAGGGATCGTCCATGGCGTTCAAAGTGAGCCAGCGACATGGTTCCGAATGTGTGCTCCCAATCGTAGTACGAACTTCCCCCCCCCCCCCTTTTTTCATTAT